ATGATACCTCGTGCCTCGGCTTCCATCGCCACTTTGACAACGGTCTAGCCATTTCATGTTCAAAAGTCCCTCCAAAATTTTCCCATAGGATGAACTCCTCATTCTCTACATGAATGACGAATATGCTAGTGCAACGTTGAATCCACCGTTCAAAGGACAACCGTGCAGCTCATTCGGCAGATGTTCATCGAGATCCACTAAACTCCGCGTGGGTTCCTACCCCTCGGTCGAACTCCGTCGGAAAATTAACCGCAAAGGGTATGTCTATCGCGAATTTGGCTGGGAATAACACGCATAATCGCCTACAGATCTCGCGTAGAAACTGGCGTCTTGGCAATGGGACAAGATGGAAAATCGATATTATTGAAAGTCGCGCTTATGAGCGGGACAAAGCTGGTCAAAGTGAGGGAACTTTTCTTCGGTCATTCTATCATGGAAGGTCTAGTAATCTCGATCCATTTGAAGTCGGAGCGCAACAGCCCTGATGTGCTATTAGGACAAGGTTGCATCCATTCTACAGCTTTGCTTGGATCAGCTTTGTCTCCTCTTCTTTCCTCTTCAACTCCTTCCACCACTTCTGCTTCAGCGCCAGAACGCCGAATCCCAACAACGCCCACTCGTCTTCCCATGCAGGCAACTCATAAGCATCAGTACCCGGCGTAGGAGGTCCAGCAACGCCCCGAAGAAACTCAAAGTACTCCGAAAAGTCGGGCTTGATTTCGTGAAATTGGGAGGTTGGACCCTTGTACTGCAGGCGCTTCACTTCCCACTCGTCTTGCTCCCGAGGAGAAGGCAGACCGCCTCCTCGGTTAGCGAAATAGCGAGCCACGGCAACGGCCTGGTACTCGTAAACGCGGAAGGAAATTGCTGCTTTGACTTGTCCAACGACTGTGAGTGAAGGGTCCGCGATGTTAAAGACGTGTTGGTAGAAACCCGAGAGGCGCCCACTGGGCGTCACGGGATCCGGACGCAAAAATGGGTAGGAGAGTCGATAGCCAGTACCGAAGTGGATTTTCTCGATACCGTCGACTTCACTGCCGTCCGAGAATTTGACTTTGATGAGGTTGTCTGAACCAATGGACACGCGTGTGATTTGCGGCTTGAGAACGACGTTGGGGAGTTCCCATGCATCTTTGAGAATCTCGTTAGAGCCTCGTTGGGAGACGTAAAGGGGGCCGGAGACGATGCTATGGATTTCGGAGACTGTGTCAGATGCAGAGACATTACCGCCGACGACAACGACTTTCTAGAAACGTCGTGTTAGGAATTTCTCTGTTCGACGGGAACTCGGGAGGGATAGAAATACCTTGCCAACGTAGTCTTCAGGTGATCTGTAGGCCTTTGAATGCTCAAATCTTTGAGGTAAAGCAGCAAATGTCTCTTTCAATCCGTCAATATTCGGGACAAATGGCACACCGTAGTGCCCGGTGGCTACGACAACTGCGTCAAAGGTGTCCTGCCACCAGTAATCTCTCTTCTGGTTCTTCAGATAGTGTTGAGTCTTCCTAAGAGTCAACTGCCATTTCTTGCCCACTTTCTCTACACGCTCAACATGAGTATTGAAAGTGAGCAAGTGTGAGAATGGCTCTGCGATCTCTTCGAGGTAGCCTGCGACTTGCGCGTAGGGATGCGTCGGGTTCTTCTTGCCAAAGCGATTAATGGATGAGGCCGAGTTCAAATCTGGAAACGGCCTGTAGGTAAACGCCATGACCTGAGAGCCGACGTTGCTGTCCAGGGCAGGGTAGAGACCTGTCCGGGCTGTGACGTTTTCAGATGCAGGTGGCAGTGACTGTGGGAGCTTGGCAGGGATCTCTCGCACAGGCTGTGCTGAGAACGGCGAGAAAGGTTCTGGCTGCTCATCGTATATCCTGAAGACATACATCAAGATAAGAACACAGAATTGGCGGAGATTGCTTACCATGTACCACCAACTCCTTCTCGTCTGTCAAATAATTGAATCCTTTCAAAGGCATTCTCCTCGCTCAAGGCCTTGACAGCTGAGATGCCAGAAGGCCCAGCACCAATCACTGCAACACTGGAATATCTAGGAGCCATGTTCGGACGTCAGAGGCGTGGGCGACAGCTTGCTGGAAACGAGGAACTCGAAAAGATTGATTAAGCTGTTTTGACGGTTAACGCCAAGTAAAGAAGCATATACTCTCAAAATTTCTGACGAATTGGTGTTGCATATGACGTGCTTGCACAACACTCCGAACAAGATGGACTTAGCCGTAGCGACAGTCCCACCGAGGGGCTTATCGCCATTGTTTTTTTTTTTCGTGGGAATTTGACATTCACGTCTCATTTGGACACCTATTAATACCACATAGTAGTATACTAAGATAGTATTCATCTTGCGTGGAGATCTAGGCCGAGATTCAACAGGCCATGGAACCAATGCTTCCAGTTTGTACCTTCACTCCGCAATCAAAAAAAAAAAAAAAAAAAAAAAAACCAGTTGTCTTTCTATAGAGCAGCAAAATGGCACAAGACCTATTCAATGTCGTTTCGCCTTATATCGTTATCTGAGTGACGTGATTGATGGATGCTTGCCACCACCACTTCGCGCAATCCTTCCTTGCAATGTCGCGACAACCAGCAGACGGTGACAGAATTGAACTAGAGTGGGAAGTCTTATCTTTATCTTGCACTCAAGAAATTCAAATATTTCCCTAACATCAAATCCTACGGGCAAGCTGTTCTAATCAATTCATTCCTCGGTCGCTTTTTGATAGTATTCGCACGTCGAACCTCACCTCATCTCATCATCTGGTGATCAAATTAGAATAACTTCAGTCTGCACAACACTAAGACTCTCTTATAACATCTTCGCTTCTCCTTCCACGCAGTTCAGAAAGCTTAATAAATTAAATCCTTCAGACTATCCTATGGAACCTACAATTCCTTTGGTATGTACTTGCCAGTGTCTTCTGTTGTTCAAGGAACACTAGAAAGACGGTTCGCAGGGGTAGTCATTTGGCATTCGCACATACTTAACTTAACAGGTAAGGCAGCCCAAGATTAATGTTCAGATGCATTCAGTACTAATGATTATTGTGTCATTAAGAAACTCCAGAAAAAGACGGGTTATTAAAGGTGCACCTTCGCTCGCAGTCGTCAAATCGGCATATGAAGAGTTATCAGTTGTCATCCGGCTCAAAAGCTAGCGCTAAGAAAGTTAGAGCACCAATCACGTCTGAATGATACCAGATCCTACGAGGGTTACATCTCAGGTGTTGAATGAAATCCACTAGAAGGTTCCGTTGGAGCTTGAATCTTCTCAAGACCTGTTTTCCATGAGCATTTCTCGTATGCTGTTTACACTTGCTTGATTTACGAGCTTGAAATCTCATGAAACCATTATAATCATCGCGGATTTTGGGCTCTGGAATACTATTGATAAATGGTTTCATGCAGGTAGTAAGTATCTGCGACATGAGATGAGTCCCAAAAAACAGTACCATAATCTGACCCTGGGAAAGATATCAACTCAAGCATGATTACCGCTCCATCATGAGAGTTCATGGTTTATTCCAGGTCGGTGTACTTTACATTCGCTGAAATACTGGAAGTTTTGGGCAACTTGATGGTGAGGTGACGAATCCAAAGCGCTCGACTGTCACAAGAGTGGAAAGAGCGGCGGCTGTGGGCCCAGCATCGGCAGCTTTCGGAAAGGCAATGCTCCACCAACACGTGGCAGCCCGAGTTGATGTGCCCCGCTTCAGCTCCCGCTACCGGCGTCAACCCGGGCCTGCGGTATGCGGGGCAACACCTGATTCGAGTCTTCAACGGCTTGAAGGTCGACGGAGTATGGAGGCGGCGCTGGAGAATCTTCAGTCCGGGCTGGTTACCGAGCCGTGCATTGGTGACTAGTGCTTCATGAAGCTTACAAGTCATATCGAGGAAGCATCAAGCGCGCCGAGATATCCTTGTGTTTGGGCAACTGAAAGAGCTGAAGGAGCAGATCATTAGTGCTTCTTTGTGTAAGTACGTTCTGATGTAGATAAACTCAATAAAGAAACATTACTCATCACCTGGAAGGGCTGTCAAAGTCAAACGCGACCAATGTGACTTGTCGTAAACAAATTGTGTACTCATTAGTAGTAAGTTATTAGTAGTGAGATTGCTTTCAGTGGCCTCTGCGGGTGAATTTTCGTCGCAGTTGGCTCGTTCACACCCGGGAAGGCTTTCACATGCGTGATTCGTCCCCTGCAGACGCATGTTTTCTGCCTCGATGAACCCCCCCATCGAATTCTCAAATCCTCAAAATGGTCCCGAGCTCAGCCAAACAAAGGAGCTGAAAGCTCAGGGGTGCTAGCTCGAGGTCACATTCTCCGAGTTTCTGTCCTGGGGCCTTTGGAGAAGAGCTGCGGCCTGCAGGACTGCGTTGTGCGAGAGAAGGGCGTTGGACGCCGCAAGCCAGTCGGGGAGGCCCGTTGGTTTTGGGCCCTCGGTCTCCCGGCTCCACCCCGGGAAGTTCTCTAGTTTTTATTAGGCAGTTCTGACGGCAAAGACGGGCTCCATAAAAGTCAGGCCACCTCGACCCCATCCGCCCTGAATCATTCCCTCCTTTCTCGGGACTTTCAGCCGTCACTTGACATGCTCTCGTTTTGCGACTTTGCGGCAGCTTGACATGGTTGCCGAGCACTTGGATACGCTTGATACGCTCGAACAGCTGTTGCTTTGCTACTTTCCCCCTTCCTCTTCGCGTTGGTGCTGGGGCTGCCCGAGGCTATGTTTAAGTCACCGGGCAGCGACGAAAACAAGCAGGAAGCTGCATTTACAGTTACAATTAAGGTAACTAACATGAACCCCCCACGTAATGTACTTGGCGGGCGAGTGTACCACAGTAATATGTGTTGCTCGTGTTACTCGGCGTGATCCTTTCCAAGCCCTGTGCCTCCCCTCCATGTCGTGAGAGCCAACCAACCCGTCCAAGTCCGAGCGTGCTCATCGGAGGTCCCACCTTGCCGCCGGGCCGCTGTCGGTGAGGTAATCACCTGGGGAGGTTCCCATTGTCCCAAAAGGGTCTTTCAGGTATCATCCCCGGGTTGCCTCTAGAATGATAATTTCTGCCCGTTTCTTTGCCGTCAATCCTCGAACTTCCTCTCCTACACATCCTTTTTTCTTTTCCCTTTTTCCTTCATCGTTTTCATTCCTCAATAGATCAATCTCACCTTTCTTTACATTTTCATTTACGACAGATCGACCACGTATAGGACCAGGCTATTACATCCACAGAATCATAAAAACCAAGTAAGCCACGACCACTCCTCCATTCCTCGCTCGGGCCAAGATACCCCGCGAAGTCGTAGTCGCATTCGCTGACCGGGCCCGCGTGACTCCAGATTCCGAGCAAACCGAAAACCACAACAAAGAAGTCATACTGAACAACACTCAATACACACATCAACGTCACAAGATAAACCGCCACAATGGTCCTCATCACACGAGCCATCTCCCTCACCAACTTCCTCGTCGCTTCGTCCGCCCTCGGCTTCCAGGTCTTCGTCCTGTACCCATGGCACGAGCAGCTGTCTCACGACTTTGAGGAGCTCAAGAAGGAACACATCCGCGTCCTCGACTATGTCAAGGGTGTCGACGCTGGCCTGAGAAAGGGACAAGGCGGCGCGCCAGCTGGCCAGTCTATTCTGGAGAGACTGGGCTACAAATGAGCAGCGCCAATCGCTCTCTTTTCGTAGCCCTCGGACGTTTCTTTTTTCTTTTGAGGTTTAATAAGGGTCGGCCGGTCTGTCTATCTGTCCAAGTTGTCTTTCATTTCCATGATTGCATGCGATACTCCCTGGAAGCGAATTTAAAAGAGCTTATTCCCCCAATGTGCAGTAGCCTCATCATGTGATAATTTCGCAACAACTCAGACTAATCTGGTGAGTTGCCAGTGCTTGAGAGCTCACATTCGACCGACAACAGCCTCACCCTTATGATTTCAGCCTCGCGACAACCTTGATAAGGGAACTCGTGTTATTGGACAGCCGTGCACTCCCAACCAGGCGATAGGGAAAGCCCGAGAAAGGTATAGCTTATCATTCAAAATCGCCTGCCGTGATAGAACTCACTCAAGCCATCGATCGGACAACTCAGTATCACGTGGGGCGAGACCCGCTTCACTGCCAGCAGATGCAGCAGCTCCGGAGCCCGCTCCGGAGCCGCGCCAGCGAATCGACGCAACGATAAGCGATCTAAGCGACTCAATGCATCATAGGTGCCTCACTCAAACACCTTGAGCGATGAGGTTCGAAGCCTTTAAAGCTCGCCTTGCCTCGATTTCAGCGAGGGCGGTCAAGAGAGAACAAACGGCACGTGACTCGATCTCACTCACCTCGAGGTCTGATGGGCGAAGCTCTCATCTCACACATGTGCCTGGAAAGCTCTAGCTCGTTATTATGAGATTGAGGTCGGACTAATCAGCAGCGCAATCATCCTTCATTACGACGGATTCAGGAGGCCCATGAACGCAATTGGTATCTCATTTGATCTCATCCAGCCTGACCAAGCCGTAATGCTCAAGCAATTGGCAAGTCTCGGCTACCTATGCAAGGGTATCGCGAATTCCAGAGTAAAGCATCAGTTCTCATGGGCCATTCCCCCGTCGTTGCCCTTCCATATCGGCATTTCAACGCCCCGAAGCTGCTTCTTCTTCAATCCAACCCAAGTTCATCACGCGACTTGTACCTCCTCAATTGGCAAATCATTCAGAAATGCGTCGCTAAAAGAACGCCATTGTGGCAATGTCGTGCTGCTTGACTAGGCGTAGCTCTCGGCCTCAGGAGGCCAGGTGGCGATCCAGGCGACGCCGAAGATGAGGAGCCACATGATGAGCCAGGTGGCATAGCGACCGCCGTTGCCAAAGCCGATAATGCTACCGACAAGAATGGCGGCATGGATGAAGGCGGTGACAAGTAGGAAGATATCGAAGTGCCAGCGACCCTGGGAAGAAAGCAACAAGAGTTATTAACTGTGGTCCTCTCATCTCATCAGACTCCACCTCATCTCAGGAAAGTACTTACGACCATGACGCCCAAAACCTTGCGACGACCCTCGGCCTGACCAATGACGGCAAGGGCCCAGGCAATGAAGAGGAAGCCCAAGATCCCGAGAATAATGTCAATTATCAGACTGACGATCTGGGCGTGGGTAATGTCGTGGACGATGCCGACAATGGAGATGGCAGTGCGGATGCCGAGAATGATGATCATGCAAATGCGGCGAAGGAGCACAGCCTTGTCGGAGGTCTTGAGGTTGTACGACTCCCAGGAGAAGGCCCAGCAAGTACGCATGTTGGGGCACATGCGGTTCTGAATGCTGCTCTGGCCGGTGGTACCACTAGCACCAGCGGCGGCGCCCTGCTGATCGCTGTAGGCCATGATCTCGCCGTTTCTGAGGCCGAGAAGGGGCTCAAGCTCGTCGTCCGAGTCGGAGGTGAGGTCGCCGGGCTCGAGGGCTGTGCGGTAGGTGATATCGGGCCAACCACCAAAGTAGAGAAGAGCGGGATCAGTGCCGGGGGGCGGTGGGAAGATGAGCTGCGAAGGGTGAGGCATGTTGCCGCTTCTTATATCCCCCCACAGACGGGTAACGGCCTCAAGCGAGATGTGGGTAAAAGAATATTGTCTTGGTGTTTGCGGATAGGGATCCTTGTGCTACGTGGCGCAGCGGAGGTTGTGCGAGGGTGGATGGTTTGGGGTGGTGAAGGGTGGAAGAAGAGGATCGTTGGTTTCACTGCAGGGGAGGCTTGCTAGCTTCGCCCAGGAAATCCATGGTGGGTGTGTTTATTGGTATTTTTCTGAATTGGGCGAGAGCTATCGTGGTCTTCTTCTTGAATAGGCGAGTGCAATGACTCGGAGGTCCAGTTGCTCTCGCCTTTTGGGGTCGTTGACGATGCCATCACGACTAAGCGATGTTGTGACTTTCGGGCAGGAGGCGGGAGTTGACAAGTCTGACTTGTGACCTCTCGACCTGGGATTTGGCAAGATAGCGAGTACTCCCTTCATTTTAACAAAGAATTCAACTTTACCAAGTGGTTGCGGAGTGAATCGTTTCATGCCGGGTCACAGCAGCTACAACCTTTACCACAACCAACACAGATAAAGACTCTCAAAGTCTGTGTGTTATCTTTGGAGTTGAATCCTTGCTATTGGCTTTACCCGTGTAAGCCACCAAACTGCATCCACATGGACCACCACAGACTGCATGGGACCGTGACCCTTCAACAATTTTTAAGCTTAATCCAACTATCAGTAGACAAGCCACCGCGGATCAGTTGTTGTCTCTAGGCACCTATCTGGCAGCTAATCGTCATGGATTAAGGTAGGCGAACGATACCCCCTCCATCTCGACTCTCGATGTCGGGATTCTGGGGCCAAAGACGCTTTGATTTCAGGGGATCGGACCCTCAACTTGGCGACTACAGCCCTGTCAACTGTGGGGGCTCTCATTAGGCAGCGGCACTCGGAAGCTCTGGCGCCTTGGCATATGATCCTCACGACCGGGCAAGGTATGTAATTGCCTACACCAGCCACATCCTGAATCCTTCAGTGAGGTATCCCCGGCAGACGTTGGCTGTTCTCGGAGTGCAAGTTTGCTGCCTAGGTGTCGATAAGTTCTGAAGTAGGACTTGGAACAAGAAGAGCATGAGTCACCCAAAGTTTTAGTCCAGGATTTCATCCTGGGCGACCAAATTTTGCAGCGCACTTACGGAGTAGAAAGGATTTTCATGTCCCTCTTACGGACCTGAACTCCGACAAGTAGAATGAGCTTGCCTTCCAAAAACATCACCGTGGCCAAGACATATCGAGGCATCGGGGTAAGCCAGCGAGCTTCATACCTAGTGCCCACAATACGTCCGCAAGGCGGCATCGGGATCCCGGCTCACACACTCCGCCCCGCTTACCGGAGCTCGGAGAACGCGATTGCAGAATGCCGATTACAATGAATGATGATCTCTTTTCGTTGGCTGTGACTTCTTGGAGTTAAGTAAGTAGTAGTACACTGCAGGCAAATACTTGACCGAAAAATACGAGGTCGGAGCGCTTGAGAGCCTCATGTTTTGGGTAGGATACTCACATCTGTGAAGTATTTTGCGTGAGGTCCGCTATGCGAATTCCGTTATATGCAGATCGACGTAGACAACAAAAGCATTCACATGTGAGCATGATGGCAGGAATGAGGAACGATTCAAATATGAAATTTATAGAATTATTCTTCGACGAAAATCTAATAGCTACATGTAAATGCTTGCTGGCAAAACCTAAAACCTGCTCTGAAAATGGTATACGTAAATCCTCTGGAACAATCGACTTTCTCCTTCAGTATCTCATAAACCTCTATGCCGAGGCAGTCTTCTCAATCTGGCTGACGTCCGCCTCCTTCTCGGAAATTCTGTCAGTGGAATGAGCTCCGTGGGTAAGCCCAGCAATTTCCGTCTTTCTGAACTTGCGTGCCGGAACGCGCTGGTCAAAGAGAATCTCAAGCTCGCCATACGTGCGACCTCTGGGCTCAGGCAGACGGAACCAAGTCCAAACGAAGCAGATGGCGCAGCTGACCGCCCAGAAGAAACCACTCTTGGCGCCCCAGTTCCACGCAGAAGGGTTGAGCATCAACGGGGTAAGGATGTTGGTTGTGATGCCGGTAATGTTGTAGAGGTTACGTGCGAGCACTACAGTCTTGGTCCTCAGACGGGTCGAGCTCAGTTCAGAGACGAGGGAGTAGCAGACGGGGCCGACGGTGCAGTCGTACATGAAGGTGTAGACGAGGAGCAAGCTGCCGATGGCCCACTGTGCGGCGACGTTGGACTTTCCGGCCAAGGAGGCGAAGCCGATGCATGCCAGGATGGCGCACATGATGCCTTGGCCTGAGAGATACAGGGTGCGTCGGCCAAAGTGCTGCATCAGGAACCACGAGAAGACTGTGCCGAGAGCGCCGAGAGCATATTGAGCTAGGGACATGGTGAATGCGTTCTCCTTGGCCATGCCGGCTTGCTGGTAGAAGTATGTCGAGTATCCCATGAATGTCGAGCCGCAAAGAGTCTGGATGGCCCATGTGAAGCACACAATCTCGGTACGGCGGAGATCGCTTCCCTTGAAGCAGTCAATGTAGCTTGTTCCGCTCTGCGCGGCCTTCTCGAGCTCGTTGGTGTGGACCATCATGGAGATGGTCTCATCGGGGTTGAAGTTTTGCTGTTGGTTGCGGCTGGTGAGGCGAATGAGAGACTTCTTGGCGTCGTCGAGGCGCTCTTTGCGGATGAGCCACCATGGTGATTCAGGGGCGAAGAAGATGCCGATTATGAGGGGGACGGGCCACATCCACTGAAGTGCAAAGGGAATCTTGTATCCCCACTCATCGGTACGGGTGATAACGCCTCGAAGGACACCGCTGGCGATGAGTTGACCCATGACCCAGCAAAGGTTGACGTAGGTAGTCTGAATAGAGAGTTAGTGATCAGCCGCCATGGAGAGATTTGGCGGTAACAGTAGACTTACAAGATAGGCGCGCAAATGTGTGGGGCAGACTTCGGAGGCGTAGGTAACGGTCAGGGTCTGGAAGATACCCCATGGAATACCGATGAGAATCTCTCCGATCAGGAGCTGGACAAGGGTCTCGGAGAAGAAGATGATGAAGATGAAAGCCGTGACACCAATGAGGCCACCAATCATGGTCTTGCGGTATCCGAACCTCTCGGCAATGATACCATTTAGGAACAGACCCGTGATCTCACCGACGAGTGCGCCGTTGCTGAGACCAGCCTGCCACGCCGCCGTCAACTGATAGCTGCCGTCGGGCTGGACTTCACCAAACTTTCGCTGGAAAACATCGTAGGCGTAGAGGTTGCCGATGAGGGTCTTGTCGAAACCCTCCATGACGACGGCGGTGCTGAAGAAGAGTGACCACATGACGGCCTTGGGGTAGAGCTTGAGCGATTGCATGAGGCCCATGTTGAGCTCAGCCTCAGTCGCGTTGGCCGCCTCACGGGCGAGCCCGGCGGCGTCGGCGTCGGCGATGGACATGCGGCGGGTGGCATCCGAGTTGATCTGGACCGTTTCGGTCGGCGCGGATGATCCGATGTGCACCATGATTGCGGTGTACTGGGGTAAAGATGGGGATGGACAAAGATTTGATAAACCGGGGTGATTGTGGGTTCAAGCTCGATCTTATAAGATCTGAGCAGGTAGCTTGAGACTCCTGTCAATGGGAGTCAGAGATGCTCGAGCTTGATTTGTTGTCAATCCCAATGAAGCTGCTGAAGCTGCTGTTCTGAAGTTGTGTTGAGACTGGGGATATCAGATCATCTTATATCTTCCCTGGATGTTTGCTCGATCAACCTGATGCTATGCGCCCAACTTCCCTCTCGCCTAATTTTTCTTGGCATCTGCTGTTAGTGAATGAGTGAGCCTACCACCAAATTACTAACAGCCGAAAACTCTTCACCTCCCCTTGCCGGAGCCCGCATCCGCGATGGCCTCACAGCCGCCGTCGGGCACCGGACTGATGTCGGCCGACCAAGCCGACCCCGAATCAGGCTCCGGGACACCTCCGGAGCCGAACCCCACCTCAAGAGCTAAGCGACGCCGCGACGCCGAGGCACAGCCGACCCGGCCCAGCCTAACGGGAAGCCAGCTTGATGCCACCACCGACGCCCCTACCTCGGCCGAGGGGCCCGCAGCCTCTACCGCATCTGCTCCGAGCGGATCTGCCACAGGGTCCGTCTTGACAGCCCTTGCAGAAGAAGCTAGACAGTACGAGGCACGGAAAGACGTCTTTCTGACCATTGCACGGTCCGTCGACAGCGTTGTCGCCAGCTTTGACGGTTCTAGAAAGCAGATCGCGAAAGAAGCCACTGCCTATGTCATTCAAACCCTCAAGAGACTGATCAATCACGAGACAAGCCCAATAGCGGCCCGGAGTTGGGCGGCTGTCGTCGCACCGATGGCGGGCAACACCACTGCGGCGACCCGGAGCGGCCAGAGCTGCCAGAGCTCTGCCCGCCCGAAGGCCACACTCCCCGCCGAGGATCAGCCGCAGGCGCAGCCGAAGGAGGACCTCCGCATCTTTGCCCGCGTCCCGGAAGAAAGCTTAGCGGCCGCTCGGAAGATCGCACCGTTCGCCGTACGACAGATCGTCTGTAAGGCCGTTGGCCTGGGGCTAGCGGACCTTCCCCACGTCTACCATATCAGCACAGGTTACTCTCTGAAGCCGCGAAACAAGCAAATACAGGAAAGACTACTTGCAAGTAAGGCAAAGCTGGCGGAATGCCTCGGCGCCCACCAGGTCGAGACGCCTATCAAGTGGTACACTTACGTTGTGCCGCGATGCCCAACAAAACTACACAGCATTGGCGGGGACGTCCTGGACCCAGCCACACTCGTTGAAGATGAGGTCTTCGCACAGACAGGACAGAAGCCTGTCCTTGCTCGACCGTCCCGCCTTGGGCCCAACCCAGTCACGAACGAAATATCTTGGCTCATATCATTCACATCAGAGGTCACGCCCTTCAGGCTCTTCAACCAAAGCGGCAGATCTCTGCCCGTCAAGAAACGAAGGACGCTCATCCGACACGACCCCGGCTGCCAGGGCTACCACTCCAACCGGTTCTGCGGACGACGACCGATCTGCAGCAACTGCGGAAGACCTTCCGATTCACACGAAACGGGACCCTGCATGGCCAGGCCCCAATGTGCCAACTGCTGCGGCCCCTTCCAAGCCAGCCACACAGACTGCCCAGCGAGGCCCTCGGCCGTAAACGGCGTCGTCTCCCTTCCCGGTCGAAAGGAGCGGGCTCGGATCCGGAAGGCCGGCCAGAAAGCATCGGACACTCTGTACAAGGCTACTCGATCCGACAGTAGCCAGGAGGCGGCAGGCGTCCCTACCTCCACCAGCCAGAACCAGCAACCCGGCGCCAAGCGCGCGCGCACGAGAACGCCCTCCGCAAGCTCGATCGTTTGCCTCGGTGACGGAAGCACTGACAGCAGCAGCATGGATGAAGACGAGGCGGACGAAGGCGAAGGCGAAGACTCCCCCGACAACACCTCCATCGACCGTCCCGTGCTACCCATGCCAAGCAGGAGCCAACGGGCAGCACAGAAGCCAAACTACAACGTCGCGAATGCCTACACCCACCTCGAACTCGACTCGGAGACGTAAGCCGAGAGCGGCGACCCCACGGATGCTACGCGTTGCGCAGGGCAACGTCGGAAAGATCTCCCCGGCGCACACGGCTTTCCTGCAGCTCTGCTGGGAGGCTCAGATAGATGTGGTCCTCGTCCAGGAACCCTGGACGGGCTGGAAGGACGGAAACGTGCAACTGAACACGCACCCGGGTTTCGACTCTTTCGTCCCGGTCGACTTCTGGGACAGCGAAGGAACCAGACCAAGAGTATTGACCTACACACGCAAAGGGATAGGGATGACGGTGGAGCAGCAGAGGCCTGTCCACACGAGAGACGTACTGTGGCTGGTGGTCGACAAAACGACGACTATCGTCAACGTGTACAGACAACCCCGCGACCCCCACAGCCGCACAACAGGGATACTGCTAGAACTCAAACCCCCGGAGCGAGCTTTGATCGCGGGTGACTTCAACGCGCATCACTACTCTTGGGAGCCCGGGACGAGGAACGGGAACCGGGGAGATGACATCGCAGGCTGGGCAGACGGCCACAATCTCTCTCTTATCAGCGAAGTTGGGGTGGCAACCCAGGATTGCGGACATGTCCTGGACCTGGCTTTCTCTAATATCCCTTTTGCGCACGCGCAGGTCAGCCCACAGTTACACCCGGGAGCTGACCACGAGGCCATCGTGGCCGTCATACCACTATTCAAACGCCCAGTGTCACAGGGAGAGGGCCACCCGCAGCCACGGCCACTGTCAGTGCCCGACTCGGCGCTGCCTCGGCTGAGAGACCTGATCGAAGGGGGGCTAGCTGCGATGCCCAATCTGGGGGATCAACCTACTCCGGCAGACCTGGACGGGCAGGCAAGTCACATCGTCGAGCTCTTCTCCCGAGCCATTGAGGCGGTCGGCAAGAAGAGAGGAAAACAGGGAAAAGGCGCGGCTTGGTGGACGGAGGAATGCGCAGAGGCCCACAGAACGTACCGTGCTGCCCGCAACCCACAAGCCTGGGAGACGGAGCAGAACGCAAATCCTTCTCCAATGGAAGAGCGGAAGGCATTCCTGAGCATTGTGAGGAAGGCTAAGCGAGCATACTGGGCCGGAAAGATCGATGGAGTCGCTTCAGACCGGGACCTCTATCAGGTCATGGGTTGGCGGAAGGCGAGCCCACTGACCAGAGCACCCCCATTGATTGTGGACAACCAGACGATCGAGGATACTAACGAAAAGGCCCAAGCGCTCCGGAAAGCCCTTCTCGACAGGTTTAGTGCGGAAGATGACGCACCGGGTGACCCGTTTGACGTACCCGTCGTCCCAAGGCGAGCGATTACTTGGCAGGACAATGTTAGCGGAGAAGAAGTGAAGACGGCCACCTTAACAAAGACAACGACCCCTGGTGTGGACGGGATCACCACGCGCCTCCTCCAGGCCTGCTGGGGCGTCATCTCGGAGCCGGTCAGGCAGCTATTCCAGTCCTGTATGCGGGCCGGCCACTTTCCTCTGCCTTTCCGCAGAGCTGAGGTGGTCATGATCCAGAAGGCCGGCAGGGATGCCTCCAAGCCCGGGTCCTGGCGTCCGATCGCGCTCCTCTCGTGCCTGGGCAAGGGACTCGAGAGACTGATAGCCAGAAGGATGGCGTCCCTGGCGATTGTCGAGCGCATCGTCAGTCCGCAACAGATCGGAGCCCTACAGGGCAGGTCAGCCGTCGATCTGACGACCTGCCTCGCCCACGATATCGAAACGGCCCTCCTAAAAGGGCTCACGGCGACACTTCTGACTATGGACGTAAAAGGGGCGTTCGACTCCGTCCTTCGGAACCGGCTCGTCATTAGACTGCGTCAGCAGGGATGGCCACACGGCTTGGTTAGACTCATCTTCAGCTTCTGCTGCATCCGCATCGCCAGAGTCCGACTGGAAGAAAGCACAACGGAATACTTTCCTCTGTCATGCGGGCTGCCGCAGGGGTCGCCTCTGTCTCCCATCGTCTTTCTGCTCTACATCGCGGAAATACTTGAAGACGACCCGGACGCGCGATTCGGGTACGCGGACGACATCGCCACTCTGGCCATAAGCCCCTCCCTGGAGAGCAACGTCGCAATACTCAACCGAAGCGCAGCCGGCATTCTCAGATGGGGTTCGGAGAACAAGGTCTCCTTTGACCCGAGCAAGTGCGAGGTCATCCACTTTACTAGGAAGCACGGCCAGCCAGCGGAGCTGCCAGAGGTCAGGGCGGGGGATTTGGTGGTCAAGGCCTCGACAAAACCTGTACGCTGGCTGGGTGTCTGGTTCGACAAGAGACTGTCCTTCCGGCACCACGTCGACACAAGAGTAGCTGCGGCAAAGAAGGCAGCTCAACACCTGAGGCAGCTTACAAACACAAAGAGAGGACTGCCAGCGGCCGCCGTGCGAAAAGCCGTCGTCTCCTGCGTACTGCCGATCGCGCTCTTTGGCGCCGAAACATGGTACGCAGGTATCACGAAGCCGGCTTCGAGACGCCAAGCGGAGACAGACACGAATCCGCCTCTCCAAGGAAGACCCGTCAACACAGGCCAGAAGGGGCTCGTGCAGAAGATCGACAGCGTCATTACAGCGGCGGCAAGGGCCGTTCTGCCTGTCTGGAGGACAACGCCAACCAGCAGCCTCCTCCGAGACGCCGGCTTACCGTCAGCCAAAGTCGCTCTAGAGGGCGTCCGCTTACGGGCCGCAGTCCGACTGCAGAGGATCGATCGCCGACACCCGCTAGTCGCGCGGCTCTCCCAGCAGGGACAGCAACAGACGAGACTACAACGGACGGCTGAACTTCTGCCAAGATGCGGAAGACCAGCGTTCCTCCAATCACAGTACCTGCCAAGCTCACAGGATCAGATAGTAGTTCAATGCAAAGAAGAGGCTGCGAAAGATTTCGAGCGCTGGCTAAAGACAGTACCGGAAAGCCATATGATCGTCTTCTCGGACGGCTCCAGGGCGACGAACGGAGCCGTGGGGTACGGCTTCGTCATCTACCGAGACTCCAAACGCATAGCGCAAGGGTGCGGCCGACTCGGACTGGCAGAAGTGTTCGACGCCGAGGTCGAAGGAGCGCGAGCCGGCCTCAGAAGGGCTCTGCTCACCAATCGCGGTCATCCAATCCACATATGTATCGACAACACCAGCGTTATACAAGGTATCCGCGGCAAGGCGCCGGACTCGTCACAAGAGGCGTTCCTCGAAATCCAAGAAGCAGCCAGGATTTTTGATGTACGGACGCACTGGTCTCCGGGACACCAGGGCATCGAAGGAAACGAGGCCGCGGACCGGCTGGCCAAAGAAGGAACGACACTGCCGGCGCGGATGGGTCAAATGGCAACACTAGCGGGTATCAAGCGGCTTGCAAGGGAAAAACTACAGGGCCACCACAGGAGATGGTGGTATAAAGAGCGAAGGCCGCGGTACGCGGACTTGGGGCTTGAGGCAGCTCTATCCAGCCCTCCTGAACTGGCCTTGCCGCGGGCTACGCTACATCACCTGCTGGCGGCACGATCGGGTCACGGGGACTTCGAGCAATATCACCGACGTTTCAACCACGACGACGCTCTAATGATGTGCTCTTGTGGAGAGGCAAAAGACGTGGACCACCTGGTCTACTGTCGACTAACGCTGGCGAGGAGGCAACGGTGGCCGACCCTCCACTCTCGCAGTATGCCCGAGCCCATAGGCCCTATGGGATCTCTCGAGGCCTACTTCAAGAGATTAATCACCGACCCACGAGGCTTCGAGGCCTTTCTCCGCGTGACGGACTTCTTCCAGAAGATCTGTCTGCGGTAGCAGCATCCACACCTACGTAGATGTGAGTGCGGACTACAAAGAACCTCCCGATTCCAAGGGACGATTTGGGAAAGAATGAAACTGGGGCACCAGCGGGAACCGGGGACAGACAGAACGCGTAGTGGCCACAAGGCATGATTTGGAGGACGATGTAAAGAGACGACGTACTGTAGAGTAGGTAGCCTTGGCTCACGGCCCTCCACGCCATATACCCTTCGGGAGGTCTGCGGTAAGGGCTCTAGCCCGGCCGCCACGGCGTTAAATACAACAACAACAACAACAACTGATGCTATGCGCCAAGGAGAAGGTGGTGATAGTTCTACCGGAGAAGCAAGGTAGTCGGTTAAGCGGCGCGGCTTCTCACTGGCTCGCTCAAATTCAATTCCAAGGTGGCGGAAAGAAGGTATGTATGATGTTGACGTTATGGACCATCCGTGTCTTAAGTTGCCGCACTTCAATGCGAGAAGACAGAACCCAAGACCCCAAGGCTTCCTTTCCGCCCGTCCCCCCCTAGGACCCAAGGCTTGGAATCCGGGACTAAGGACCACGCTATGCTCCACTTTCTCCGCGACCCATTGGCTCGCGCGGGGAAGTTGCGTCTAGGGATGGATGGTCTGGGGTTGGAGATGCAGCGTGGTTGGTACGTGTTTGCTGGTTGGGGATTGACAGCGAGATGTCTCGAACGGCTGGGTCGCATATGGATGTGGATGGGTCAAGTATTGGAAAGGAAAGGGGTGGGAGGGTCACGGCAAAAGGAGAAGAAACCCACATCACACATAAGGTACGGGATAGCAATGCTTAGACTTTAGCGGACACTCTTCGCCTCACCCCAAGGCCCAAAGAGAGAAAATCTGTCAGCCCAAAACTCAAAAAGACAAGACCAGAGAGTGAGACGGTAGTGCCAGCTGGATGTCTAGACTTGCCGTAGAAGTGTTCGCCGGCGACACCGCGTACATCCCTGCGCACATGTGGCGTACCTGATGCTGCTTCGGGTCGACGAGCCTTTCCCATCAGGGAGTAGCTTGGCAAAGATCCAGTGCAAGAATCCATGTCTGACGAATGGCGGCACAGAGAACATTCGGCGTTTCCACCCACCGGCAATTGGGGCGAAGATTTCTGCGAGATTTCGTATGGCAGACCGACCAATAGGTCTCCTTACCTGACGTCGCTGAAACTAGGCATCCCTGCCACAGAAAAACACTTGCAGATGGGATGATTGTCGCTGTGGGTGTTCTGGGGTTGGCGTTGGTCGCTCCCGTTGGTTCAATTTTCTTTCTTTACGATACTGACAGTTTGGGGGCGAGCGAGAGGAGAGATCTGGCAGCGATCGACCCCCCATCAAGCATCCCACTATTGCCGTACGTGTGCCATACCAACTACCAAGAGACAAGCGGCTTTTCTTAGAAACCGCCTGTTGATCGAACGGCGAGCGGCAGCGTTCTTCCCCGCGTAGCCTCCCGCAGATACATCAAGGATAATGCGGGACTTTGGGCGGGGATTGGCGACAGAGTTCCAGCGATTGGCCCGTACCGTCTTTACGCAACGTTGAAAGTTCATTGGTCTGGTCTTTGGTCTCTTGTCTGAGTCTCTGGCGGGGACACGGTGGAGGAGAGGGAACTTGGGATTGGGGAAGAAGGTTGGGCGGGTGAACCCCCCCAGACTGAACGAGTTCCAGGTCCGCGAAACTCAAAAAGCACTCGGGCGTATCACGCGCGGGCAGACCATTGCGGAAATTAGAGGCTCCCCTCAACAATTCCATAATCTTTCTGCCCGACTTTGCTCGGTGCGATGCCGGGCGCACCTAGATTCCTGGATCATCGTCGAGACTCGACCAAGTCGACAACATCTCTCCCCACGGGGCACTGTGGAACGACGGGTCGAGTCCGGGGATGGAACTCGTGATGGACACAAGATCAAGCAAGCATCCGAGAGAGCCAATAAGTCCCCTTTCCCACCTGCCACGTTGTCGTCAATGCTCGCTTGTGCGACTCCCCCTCGCAACCCTTCGTGATCATCCCGAGTCTTGGACCTCCAATCATCTCCAGATGTGGAAACCAAGCTCACCGGATAGATCTTACACGTGCTTCGTGAATTTACCGGTCATCAGCAGCTGACCAAAACTTCTGCCCAAATCTATCGTATCTATATGACACAACAGGACATATCGTATTATATCTTGATTCCTTCAGCGCAATGTATAATGCGGCTCTGACAGACCTATCGCCAGACCCTTAGAACGACAACCGCAAATCTGGCCAACCCAAATTCTAAGGCGGTTTAGGGCGAACTCACTATCTCGTCAACGGGACATGAACCTAGGAAATGACTAGCCATTGAGGCTGACGAAGGCTACCGCACAAGACTGCCGACGGGAGTGACAAGGATGGCTCAAGTATGCAGCTGTGCGATACGGATAGGGCCATCGCGAGTCACGAGTCGCACCTCCGATCAGTATGCACCGTAAGTGGAGTCAATATCGGGTTCGGGCCTTAGCCCATCGTTACTGCAGCATCAAAACGGGGCAGGACCAGATGCCCGGGCCCGTCTTGTCCCCACTATACCGATTATCACATGCTCGGCCCGCCGGCTACCTTCCGTAGTTGCCGGTGCCCCAAAGCCCGGGCCCGTACCCCGGTAATCGGCACCAAACCCTGCCCCATACCCGCAACGGACCCGGAAGAAACAGTAGAATGCCGCGCCATCCATCGGAAGGGTATAGCAGAGTTTGGCAATTTCTCGGTCATTGTTAGAAAAACAGCCGCATACGAGAGGTGTTATTGCAGTGGCCCATAGTCCTGTCAGTTCCTGTTGCCAACTCCATTCCACTTGGTTGCAACCTGTCAGATTTTAGAAAGCACCATTGCCTTGTACAATTAAGATCATGCCATTTTGGCTTGACCTCGGTAGCAACATAGGTGTATGCTAGCACACCATGGAATAACTCCACGACTTGGGGTTGCAGAAGGATTATTGGAAGTTGAACACCATATCGATCCTAGTGGCCGGACCCGGATGGAGCCCTTTTCAAGTTCACTAGTGCAATGATTCAAGCCACTTTTTGGCAGAATTTTCAGAAAGGCTGGATAGCAGGCGGTGCAAGAGTCGGACGTGAAAGTGCTCAATCTTTCAATCAATGCTATGGGCATCACGATATGCCAGTATCCGTCGTCGCTCTGTGCCGACTTTTCATATACCAACCTCAAAGTAAGTAGTGTAGGATCAAGCCCTTCGTATTCGTGTTCACGGCTCTCGGAGCGGCACAGACAGATCAAACCGGCGCTTTTCCTAAATGGGCTTGTAAACTGGGTCTCCCGAGAACTAGCAATCTCATCAGAAAGCATGGCAAGGCGAGAGGATGCCTGCAAAGAAGACGCGACATTTCGGAAGAAATCCACAAATGTCATCAAGATCCTCCATTGACTGAAGACGCGGATCTACGGGAGCGAACGGGTTGTTGCATTTCATCATCTTCGTGCTCCACTGTCTTTCCCATTTAGGTAGCGCCGACGAATCAGAGAGACTCTTGAGCCGTGCCCGAGGTGACGGTTCTGACAATCGCAGAGGGGGCAGAGAAGCGCATTCGTATTCGGATTTGATTATCATCGAAGAGCTTATCACGTATTCGTGTCTGGGATCTGAGCCTCTGTTACGGATACTCTGTAGTTGATAGATACTATATGTCTAAGTCTTTCATAGTAATGGCTGAAGGGAAGAGAAAATATTTAAAAACAAAGAAGACGCTCATACTGCGATGGGAAAGTAAGCCCTCGAGAAGTACGTCTTTCAACAAGTTAAGCCAACTTCCCACCGATCTCAGGCACCGCCAAAGCAGCCGTCACGATTACACCTTGATACCGCCTACAAAATCCTTCGTGATTTATCACAATGGTTGAAACAGTCCCAGAGGAAGGGCAGATGCTCTTGGCCCGAGATGCCACGTTTGAGAAGATTCTTCACAGGGGGACGTCCAAAGACGTCGGCATGTCGGCAATGTTGAAGAAGGACTACGAGGCCCAGAAGGCAGCCACAGACGAGTACTTCAGTCATTGGGACAACAAGAGCGCACAAAAGGAAACGAAAGAAGACCGTGAGGCACGTTCAACATTTCGGATCGCTTTTTACCCAGCTTAACCTAACAATTGATGTTACACAGGCTCGTGCAGCAGATTATGCTTCCTTGACCCGACAGCAAGTCTTCAAAGTCCATATCAAGAAGCAAGTTCATCATCTAACCGTTAGCTCTACAGATACTACAATCTAGCGACCGACTTCTACGAGTACGGGTTTGGCCAAAGCTTCCACTTTGCTCGACCTGCTGCCGGCGAATCCTTCAAGCAGAGCATCGCAAGACACGAACACTACCTAGCCCACGTCATCGACATCAAGAAGGATATGAAGGTGCTAGACGTTGGTTGCGGCGTTGGCGGACCTGCTCGGGAGATTGCTAAGTTCACAGGGGCATACATCACCGGTCTCAACATCAACGAGTACCAGGTGGAACGAGCCACGAGGTATGCTGTAAAATCAAAGATGGATAAGCAAGTCCAATTCGTTCAGGCCGACTTCATGGTATTGAACTTCATTATGCCCTACATACCCCTTCAATGCCAGCTGACACCAGATGTTTTACAGAACATCCCCTTCGAAGACAATACCTTTGACGCAGTCTACGCTATCGAAGCTACCGTTCACGCCCCTTCTCTGCAAGACGTCTACTCGGAAATTTTCCGCGTCCTCAAGCCCGGCGGCGTTTTTGGCGTCTACGAGTGGGTCATGACGGAGAAGTACGACAACGAAAACCTCCGTCTGCGCAAGATCCGCATCGACATCGAACAAGGAGACGGCATCGCCAACATGGTCAAGGCATCCGAAGCAGTGCGCGCCTTCCAGGCAGCCGGATTCGAGATGATCCAGAACGAAGACATGGCAGAGCGTCCGGATCCAAGTCCGTGGTACTGGCCGTTGGACGCTGGTAGCTGGAGACACGCGCAGACGGTGGGCGACTTGCTCTACACCTTTCGTATGACTGGGCTGGGAAGAGCGTTCACACATGGATTCCTTAGGCTTATGGAGACATTGAGGCTTGCGCCTCCTGGGATGATGAAGATGTCCGATAGCCTTTGTGTTGCTGCTGATGCGTTGGTTCTTGGTGGGAAGGAAAAGATTTTCACGCCTATGTATCTGATGGTTGGACGCAAACCCGCGAAAGAAGAGTAGGCATTTGTGCAGTTCAACCCATTTTCCTACTCACAACTAGAGTAGATCTAGAGCCATAGACCTTTACAATGGAATTTAATAATTTTGATCAATTGTCCTAAGTATCTTCTAACTGGTGGTTGTCAGCGGTATCAATGCTTCGAATAGAAGCCCAGCTAGGAGTAGACAAGAGCAAGGAAGGAAGGAACAGACAATCAAAGCCCAAAAAGCAAATGCGAACGAAGACACCCCAAGCTCAAATTGAGCAAAAGAATGGACGATCTGGGAATCGAACCCAGGACCTACCGCATGCTAAGCGGTCATTATACCACTAAACCAATCGCCCATGATGATCTAGCCCGGACTTGAACCGGAGACCTTCAGTGTGGTCAGTTCGAGTTGCCTCGAATCTGTTAGACTGACGTGATAACCAACTACACCACCAGACCATTTGAATTGTTGAAATCCGGAGCGGAGATTGCGCATTAGAAATCATTGTAGTGGGGGACGGCAGATGTGTGGGCATTTGAGTCGTGAAGCGAGAGAGATGAGCCCTTGTGGGGCCGTGTCGGCGGGGCGGGGTCTAGACCGGCGTTCTGGGCCGGAGCTGAGGTCCCGAAGCGGACGGGTTTGGCCGAAGGGCTGGAGTGAGACCATCAGCGCCTCAAAGGCCCCTTGCGTACAGCTTCCTTGCTGGCGAGAGGAACGCATGGAAGAAATTTGCTCGAGACAACTTTCGATTTGTCTCAGAAGCCTCCGAGCCTCTTCTGGAAAAATGGGAGAAAGCGTTGGGAAACGTCATGACAATGGGCCGACGGAGCATCACAAAAAAGCTCTGAGCTCAGTCAGACTAGAGAAAGACTTGACCCACTTCCTGAAACAATGAGCACGTGAATAAGAGAAATCGGCTGATGAGATGCAGTGTCACTTGACAACGTGGTTCATGGAAGAATCTGGACATGGGCTCCGCGTGGCTGGGGATTCCGAACGCCTCCGAGTCAAAGAGAATACAGGACGATTGAGACTGAGAGCGTTCTCGAATGAGACTCGGCGCCGGATTCATTGATTTCACAGGCTGATTCAACCCTGGGCGTCGCGGCATCGCATATGTGGGCAATGTTATGTACATTTCGTGAGGGGTAACAATAATTTTGTAGCCCTGAAAGTATTAATATTCTAAAACCTGGGCATGAGACATCGGATAACAAGATGCGAAGATTGCCCTGGATGTTACAGTACCCTTGAAAGCTTCCAATTGATACATCGTTGCTTTCTCTTCACAATTGACATCTTGATACAAAGAAAGTGAGCCCGTTGACGTGTTTTCTGGTTCGAGCCCGAATAAACTTTCTATTTGACTTCCGGGAAGCCCATAAGCTTATTTCCAGGGAAACCATTGCCAGGTGCTTTTGTTGCAACCGAACACTTTGTACCCCAATTTCCATAGATTAGGCTTTAATATCAGCCAAGTGCATCCACGACAGGTCCTTGCAACCTGCAGGCACCCTCTAGTACCCCCCATCACGCACCACAACATCAGGCAAAATGCTCTCCATTTCGCTAGATTTCTAGTCGCAATGATCATGCTTGGCTGCGTCCAACATCTTGTCTTTCCCAACTGGCAATTACTCTGTATCATCCCGTGCCATTCCTGCCGCATCCCATCTTGGTCCGGAGTGTCCATTTTCCACCACTGGCAGATGAGCGCCATCGTTAGCCGGATCTTGGCGTAGTGTTTCCGTGGTGCTGTGGCTGAGCCAAGACTCTCGACCTGGTATCTTAAATGCCTATCATTGGTGATGGCTTCTGCAATTTCTGCAAGGCAGGCAGGGTTCTCCGCATGCTCGTAGGAAATGTTCATGGCGTGAATAGAATCACGGAATAGCTGCAGATCCAGTAGCTTGGGACCTGGCTCGAAGCTCGGTTCGGGGCATGAAGGAGCATTGATTTCCATCAAGCTATGAGCGCAAAGCTCAAGCTATGAAGGATTGTCTATAAGTAGGACCGGGCACCAGCCTTCAAGTCAATGAGCTGTTCTTGTAGATGTGGTAGTCTGTCGTCAGTACTGGTCAATTACGCCTCTGTGTGGTTCCCTATCCCTCTTCTTTGACCTCGGTTCGATCTCAAGACAGCTGTCATTATGAGAGTCAACGTCTCGGTAATTCTCTGCGCCTTCGTAGGCTTGACCACAGCCAATCCCCTCGACTGGCTCGGTCTCGCCTCTTGGGAAGTCGAAGGCTTCGCCAAAGACAACCCACTCGGCAAGACCACAGGAGGCAAAGGAGGCCCAACTGTAACGGTCTCCAGCGTTCCTGAGCTCCAGACCGCGGTGGCTGGCAGTGATCCCAAGATCGTGGTCCTCAAGGGCGAGTTCGTTTTGCCTGCACGCCTCAATGTCGGATCCAACAAGAGCTTGGTTGGCTACAAGAACACAGCACACATTACCGGCAAGGGCGTCAATGTCTACAATGCGACCAATGTCATCTTGCAGAATCTGAAGATCAGTCATATCTTGGACAATGACTGCATCACGATCCGGAACTCTACCAGGGTCTGGGTGGACCACAACGAATTCACCTCAGATATCACCAAAGGCCCAGACTTCTATGTTTGTGGAAACGTCTTCCTCAAATCATGGGGGATACTTGATTGGAAACGTTACTGACCTCAATCGAACAGGACGGCCAGGTTGACATCATCCGTGCTTCAGACTGGATCACTGTCTCCTGGAACTACTTCCATGACCACTGGAAATCATCCCTCATCGGCAACGATGCGACATTCCGCGACCTAGACTTTGGCCATCTTCACGTTACCTACCACCACAATTACTGGAAAAACGAAGGCACTCGCGGGCCCGCCGGTCGCTTCGGGCACCAGCATATCTACAATAACCTCTACGAAGACTTCCTCTACCAGGCAATCCACTCTCGCTCCGACAACCAGGTTCTCGTCGAGGGTAATGTCTTCCGTGGAAACACGCGTGAGGCGCTCAGCACATATGGTCTCGTCATCCCCGATGATTCGCCGAATACCTGTGTCTGTGGTGATGAGGAATTGGACGGCTTTGCTAATCTTGGTGCTCGTAAGTGAATGCTTCTTCCTGATTTAAATAGAAATTGCACGAGAACCATGCTGATAAGACGATAGCCAACGACTGGGGAAAAGCTGGTGTCAATATCACCCAAAAGGGCGACTTTTACAAGGCGCCCTACAAGTTCAAGCTCACTCCTTTGCCTTTGGTAGCACCTATCGTCAGACTTGGCGTAGGAATTGGCCGGATCTGAAATGTTGGACCCACTGTCATAGAGTGCAGATATTACAGGCAGATAGAAGATTTAACAGAATCAGATCACTCTTCATATTCCTCGCTGTAAACATTATGTGTGGCTCGTTCTTGACACCGTTCTTGGAAGTTTTTCTTTTGGTACAAGGATCCCACCAAATCACTATAAGCTACCTACCTAGTAATAGAACAGCCATTTTCATACTCAAATGGAGTCTTGTGGGACAAATCGCATCAATGGACTGCTTTGAGCCTAGGTGGACATTTGTGTCATTGCAAGTTATCATCATGTCGGATGACCACCACACCGGCCGCACTAATACCGGTTATGGGCGTGGCCAGTGCAACTTTACGCACTCTCTTGAAATGATAATCGGCATGGAATTATGGAGGAGAACCATTTTCGTGAGTATCATTTGGCAAGAACGGCGACGTAGATACGCATGAAACGAACACCACTGGTGTCCCTACGACAGACTATGTCTCCTCAACCCTGACCTCGACATGACGAGACCATAGTCTATAGAAGCCAGCTTCAAGTCCAATTTCAAACTAATCTGTCTCCTATAAGACTAGAAACGCAACTTTTCCACATTATTCAACAAGTAGTTGAAGCTGTCCTGCCGGAAATCATCATCTATCAAATCCGCGTTATTCGCCATCATGTGCATCATTTTGTTCCCGTCTCTCCACTTGGGCCAGTCAATCAACTTCACCTTTGCTTTCCCCGTGCCGCCAGAGGAGTCGTTGGGGTCCAGATTGTAAGCAAAGTTGAAGTAGTACGCCCGCGTCGCCGAAGCAGCGTAGTTTGGCTTGATTCCGTAGAATACCTGGAGGAGGTCCGATCCGTGGAACGTGCCAAGAACAGGCGTGCCATAGTCGTAACTGGCAAGGTAGCTCCAGGTGTTGACTTCGGGTTGAACAGTTTGGGAGATGTTGAATACGGCTCGACGGGTGAGGGTAAAGACTGTGTCACCTAGGATAGCAGCTAGCCGCTTGAACTGCGGTCGGACTTCGTTGAATCCTGCGGTCCTGAATGGTGATCCTTCAGAAGGGCGGGGGCCGTAAGTACCTACTAGTTCCTTAATCTGTTGTGGAGAGGCATTGTTGAAGTAGAGTTCACTAAGATAGCCTTCAACTTCTCGAGTCCTAGTGATGTTCGGTTGGAACAGTGCAAAAAGGGTGCCTTCGTCTTCTTGGTCGCCGAGGATGAAGGGAACCTTGGGTAACTTTCCAGAAGTCGCGAATACCTCCGGACTCGATACGATGTTCTTTCCATCGGGTCTTGGAAGATACGAAAGAGCAACTGAGCTATAACTCAGAAGGCCAGGTACGGAGTTGGCGGCTTTCCGCATGTCCTATCCATACACATTAGAATCCACGTCTAGCAACATAGACAGATCGATAGGCTCACGTCGTATGAAAGGTCTCGCAAGCACTTCAATCGATCAACTGCCCCAGCACACCCGGCCGCGGAAAGGACCGTGTCATAGACCTTTGTGGCTTTCGGAGAGTCCATTGGATCTGTCGGAACAGCCGATCCGGAGTTCATTATGGCGCCGCGGAAAAGAGCCTTCCCATTCCGTGTAATGTTTCCGTTGTAGAGGTTCAGTTGGCTGAAGATCGATATAGCACCGGCCGACTCTCCCCACAGAGTAACCTTATCCGGGTCGCCACTGAGAGACGCGCAATTAGCATTTTTTCATTCGCCTTCGTGCCTTGGAAAACTCGAGGGCTTACCCAAAGCTGGCGATGTTGTCCTGGACCCATTCAAGCCCCATTCTTTGGTCCAGAAGACCAGCATTAGAGCTCCCTTCCTGCATCAGGTCCTTCCCCGGCATGAATCCCCAAGCACCTACACGGTAGTTGACTGCCACGAAAACAAATGGCTTGCCTGTGGACATTCCTTCTGCGACAAGACCAGCTCCGTTGTACATAGAAGTGCTGCCTAATTCAAAGCCGCCGCCAAAGATCCAATACATCACCGGTAGCTTGTCTCCCTCTTTTGTTCCGGCGGGGCGTTGCACATTAATAGAAAGACAGTCTTCTTGCCCAACAGCCAGGTTCTTGAGAATAGGGAGATTGAGGACCTTGTCGAGAAGATCTGGAGGGATGAGCGGCGAGCCAAAGTCAGGCTGTAGGATGAATTGCGGGCACGACTCTGGTTGTTCCGTGGTAGCATCGACTTCGCCCATGGCTTCGATAAGGCGTACGGGTGGCTTGAACCTCAACTCCCCAATGGGAGGTTTGGCATAGGGGATTCCATTGAATGATTCAACTTCACCAGCCTTGGCTCCGAGAAATCCTTTCGTAGTGCCTTTCAGGTTCGCTTGAGGCGCTTTGATGGTGACTCGGGGGGTTCCGCCGCCCCCTTTCTGCGGTGCAGCCCATATTTGAGCAAATAGAGAGACGAAGACCAGCGTCGAGAAAATCATGATGAGGTAGCAACAATTTGAAAAAGTCGATAGCTGCTCGATTCCTTGTTCTCGACGTTCCACCAACATACGATCACCATCCCAAATAGGCCAAACAGGCTGGGTCATGGCCGGGGCCAGAGATCGATATATGATGCAAGACTCATTCCGACTGGGGCTCGTCTTCGGAACTGATGGAAAGGCAATGACCTCATTACGATCAAGGAACTACGACCTCATTACTGTCGTCTGGGTTTGTACAATGAGCTTAATTACAGATGAACCAGGTAGCGCCGCGCTGGAGGTAGCGACATGGCGGATATCATGGATGATTCCTCGCATCGCATGGCCCAAAATGGAAGTGTTCCTATATTTTGACGACTTGTCAAGGTCGTTGGCTGTTAGAAAAGTCTCTAGAGAACTTCAGTAAGGAGCCTTCCTGGTATCCCGGTCCTACGAGTGGGGGCACGTTGCATTCCACCCTCGGCAGCGAGATCGCATATGATGGGTCGGCAGGTGTCATGCGATTATGCTTTCAGACGGCTGTGACTTGAGGTACGACCCTGGAAGGATGGATTGTGTAAGTCAAGCGGGGAAAAAGAGGAACAAGAGTTAAAATCGACCTGAGATGGCTACATCGGTTGGGTTCGATAGTGTTGGTTATTGTCCCGTCGCCGAATCAGGGAAAAGGCCATGTTCTGCGACGGTCTGTGTTGCGGAGGATTTGAGGAAGATCAGACGGAAACAGCTTCAGCCAATCTGGGGTCCGAATCTTCATACTTCCGAGTTCGTGTTCGGCTCCGTATATCAAGGCAGTGTTGGGAGGCAGGTATCGGGGACCTTTAATATCTTGACTGAAGCCTCGTGGATGTCTTAGAAGAGTCAATCTTTGCCAACTTCCAGGGAGATGCTAGCTATCTTGTATACTATTGATACTATACAGACATATTCAAGAAGGCTCATGAAAAGATCCGATTGGCTCTACTTTGTTATTCAAAGGCTAAGTAGCTAGATCCTTCCCCGCGTGGCTTAATTACGCATGACCCGAGATGGCCTTGGGCTGATACAGTTCCTCAAGGTACTTTTCCTCCTCGTCGGTCAAGACCTTGCCGTCGGCAGTGATTGCCTGATCAATTCTCTCGACGCTGCTGAAGCCAATAATAGGGCTCGTGATTCGTTTATTGATCCATGCAAGAGCCACGTGGGACATGGGCCAATCCCGCTTCTCCGCGATCTCCTGAACTCGCTTGATGATGGTGAGGTCCGGCTCCACCGTTCCATGGCTTCCGGGCTGACCCTCCTTCTCGGTCTTGCTACGAGAAGTGGAGCCGAAGTCCTTCGGGGGTCGGGCCAAGTGACCACGGCCTAATTGAATACACCGATTAGCATGTGCCGAAGCCGAATTTGAGGCCCATTCACTTACAAAGAGGTGCCCACGGGATGAGTCCAACTCCAGTGGAGTCACAGAATCGGTTCATCTCCCTTTCTTCTTCGCGATATAACAAATTATACTGATTCTGCATGCTCACAAATTTTGTCCAGCCGTTCTTCTCGGCAGTGAACTGCATCTGGGCAAATTGGGTACCCCACATGCTGCTGGCACCGATGTAGCGGACCTTCCCTGTCTGCACCAAATCGTGCAGCGCCTTCATCGTCTCTTCTACGGGTGTCCTGGGGTCGAATCGGTGAATCTGGAGGAGGTCGATGTACGGAGTGTCCAGTCTCTGCAACGAAGCGTCTACCTGGTTAAAGATAGAAGCTCTGGACAAACCCCATTGGTTCTGGTAGTCCTTGGACTTGTTAATCTCCTCGCGGAAGTTGAAGTGGCGAGTCTCTGCAGAGTACGAAAGTCGTTAGTAACCCGACTCATGAAAGACGCGACTGACTGTGACAACATACCTGGCTCTTCGCCGACAGCAAAGAAACACTTGGTCAAGATGACCACCTTCTCACGGGGGATGTTGTATTTCTTAAGTGCTTTGCCAATCGTTCGCTCCGAAGCTCCATTGGAGTACACGTTCGCGGTATCCCACGTGTTCAACCCCTTATCGTAAGCGGCCTTCAGGAGAGGAAGTGCCTGAATAGATATAGTCTTAGTGATGTCGCTCATTTACCACGCAGTATTCAAACAAATGTTGAATCTGATATACCTCTTCCTCATTCAGAGCCCAGCCGATGGTGCGTGAGTCTCCAAAACTCATGCAGCCAAAGATGGGAACTGAAACACGCAGTCCGGACTTTCCGAGCTGGCGGTATTCGACCTTGGTGCTCTCGATGCCTTCCTTGAGACGTGCGGGTAGCTCCTTAGATGCCATGGTCGCGAGTTGTGCTGGATAATTGTTGAACAAGACGTTGAGAAGAGCGAACGTAATCTGCTGAGGCCGGCTAGCAGTTAATTGACTTCCTGTGAGAAGTGGGAATGGTCAAAATGGCAAAGAGACGGCCTAAATAGTTAGAAGCTACCTCGACAGCGTAAACGTCATCAAGCCCGATCGCGACATACTTTGGAGGGGTCACAGCGCGGGTCGGTGATGGAACCGAGAGGCGAGGAGCTACCCCGCACTGCGCTGATCACTGGCCTACCTCAAAAGTCCACCAACTGTTGGTAAAGCTTGCTGACCATCAGTGCATTTACGATTCGGAATTAGCTCTTAAGCTGAGCTTGAGCTGTAGTCATTCATACAAGGGGTTTGCTTTGGATGAATGGTCCTGGAGTAAGCTCCTCTGCCCCTGATCTGGAACCGGACTTAGGACATATAAACTCCGCCGCCCATCATGAAGACTGATGACACGATGTCGCATCTATCTCACTTGGGGCTGCCATTGGTGTTGAAAGTTGTCAACTAAATCTAAAGGGTTGCTTGTATTGAATATGATATTCACCATCTCTAACTAAAACACTCCTCAAAAGTGCCCACAAACGGTCCAGCGCCGCTGGGGTCGTTATTAGGTTCGCATGCACCGCGAGCGCTGCAAGTTCCTCTGCCGTTATTGCATGCAGCACCGGCGTTGACTTGAGCATCCTGATTACCGCCGCCCAAAATGAAATCGTCGACTTGAGACCGTCCGTTTCCGGTCTGACATTCCTTGAAGTTACCAACAAACGGGCCAGCGCCGCTCGGGTCGTTATTTGGCTCGCATCGTCCGCCTTTGCAAAATCCTCGGCCGTTGTTACAACTTTCTAGATGTTCAATGTCGTTAGTTGTGTCTTCATTTCATCTCATTAATTCGTGTATCTTTGACCGCCTGTGTGATTGGATAATACAAGGAAACCAAACGGCCTGCCCTATTCGAACAAGTCATGATAAAACCAGGACACTTGCTCCGGCCCTGTGGAAAACTGAGTACTCACGAGAAAATACCGGGCTGACGAGAAGCGCCAGGCAAGCTGTCAGAGTAGTGAGCTGCATTTTGAGGCGCACAAAAGGGAGGGCAAGATGGTCGGGTGTTTGATTTTGAAGGATATAGTAAGTAGTTCCGCGACGGCGTGAGAGATGTTGATGCGTAGATAGTTGATAGTGAGGATCCGTACCAGACAGACTTATAATGAGATGAATGGCAGCCGAAAAGCAAATCAGCTTAGATGCACGAGAGAAGTGGTGGACATATTTAACTTTGTGACGCTGAGCTTGCCTTTCAGTCGAGTCTTGTAGCCCCTTGGCCGGAGGAAGAGTACATCGATGTTCCAAAACCTGTGCAAAGTTGAGATTGCCCCAAGTCATGAATCAGGAGATCCTAGTCTGTCATCCCATTTTTGCTCGGCGCGATCGTTGTCAACGGAATGTTTAGCCCTATTTTACGTATTCGGTATCGTTAAAGGGTTCAGTGACTTGTCTGACACGTTGCCCCGTAATGTACGTAGTTGTCTTGCGGGGTTTGGAGCGATCCGCGCGATGTTGTAGGTCAGTTTGATCGTCGTTAAGATAACATGCTATGATCTGCCTGTCACAGAGTCTTTAATATTTTCATTGGGCCGTCTGAATAAAACTCGCAAATTAGCTCTGGTGCTCATTGAAGGTACGCTGTTTCAGTAATCAGGGGCTGTTCCACCTCGAAACGGCAGCATTCGGACAGCTCCGTCGAGCATCGTGCCTGCAAATAACTAAGCGACCGAGCACATGCGGGTAGTGTGGACAAGGACTTCTACAGCGAGTATCATCTCATCAGCGTTGTATGTCAGAATATGGATTCTACCAAACAGTGCACCAGCTGAAGTTGAATAACTTGTTGCGCCCCAGCCTTTACTACGACCAAGATTCGCATTAACGCCACTAACGGAGAGCCCAATCAATGCCAGCTGCGTGTGAGTAATCCAGGTCACTTCCATGTCTGCAGACTTGGTCAGTCCAAGTGATGGGATCTACTCTTCGCCTCGGGGCAGCAGCGAGGTCCACTAAACGAGGCGGAGATACAAACTTGAACATGACACAAAGTGTAGCGTGGAGAGCATCGCAGGCCTCGACATTTAGGGCTCGATTTTGCCCAAATTCACTACTAATCGCACGCAAAGCCATGTTAAACTTCAAACGGCAAGAGCTCGCCATTGTACTTAGGGCCTAATTGGATCGTTGCCACTGATAGTTGTCAGTAGCCAGGATGTGCATTGAACCCCATAAAAAACACTTTCCGTCATACTAAACCTATCAAATCTAGGAGGCGGGTCCGTTCTCTCGTGGACGCCAAAGTTATAAAACATTCTTTTCTGAATCAGTGACTGAGACAGGGCGAACATGGTCAAGTTACTCTGAACAGGGCTGGTCGTGAGCTCAAATTTGGCATTGTCGGAGAAGTAGCCTGTGCTAGAGATCTGTTGCCAGAGCCGTTCCTGTTATAATAGACTTTCGTATGCCCGACACTGCGGCCTAATACAGTGGCATGATTATTTGGCGGGGCTGTGGCTTTGTACTAGGCAGCAACTGGCTACTGGCAACGAGCCGACCAGAGTCAGGGCACTAGAATGGAGTTGACCTTGATGATTTGAGCAATAATAAATTGCTCTTTCTACATTTTCCGTCTTCATCACTAACCGTGACTTTTGCTTTGTGATTTCAAGCTTTATCGGCCAAAATGTCTCCAATTCGGGTAGAAAAGTCCTCCACAGCGAAGAATCTGGCTCCCTTGCCGGCTTTTTCGGAAGGGTAGACGGGAACGAAGCTCTAGCCCGTGCTATCAGAGTCTAGCCAAAGGCACCAAAGACGCCAGAAGCACCTCAGCATGCCGAACCCTCGCCAACCTCACAGTTAGCCACGTCACCAGCTTCTTCGATGCCATCATCGTTGATGGACTCGAAGCGTCTACTCGAAGAAGAAACCTTAGTCGTCGACCTGGTAACGACGGACGAAGTGGTCTTGCCTGCTCAACTGCCTCAGACAGTCGCTATTCCGTCTGGTCCCCAGCCGCCGAAACCAAAGACATCAACAATCCAGCCGTTGAAACGCATCAGGCGCCCCGACATTGAGAAGGGTACTAAGATTATCTTATCAGGATTGGATGAATAATCATCTGGACTTTCTGGGATTGTCGACAAGACAGATCGTCTGTGGAATTGAGACGCATCTGACACCTTAAGTCGACATGTCCTGATGTGTAGTTCGTGTACTCTCAGCCAGTTCGGTGACAGCAGAAGTCGGCCATCAATTTTACCTTCACAATTTCCGATCCGCCAGACTCTATTGAATAGCACCAGCTGATCTTATCTGCAGCAAAATAATCGACGAGCTTGTCTCTTTTACCAAAGTCTGTCGCAACCTGTGGCACTTCGAACTCCTGTTCTTAGACGACAGCTTCCATCCTGACAACCACGCCAAAGCCTTGATGGATGATGACATCGTGAAGTTGGCGGCAGCGTCCCCGAATCTTCGTTCTACCACATTGCCAGCAACCACCCAGCTGGGTCACAGATCCTTGATTGCGTTCTGCCAACATTGTCCATGACCGAAGCACTAGAGATCGCCACCGTAGCTGATAACAATAAAGTCTTCGTGCATGAAACATTCTTTGACGAGGTGATGAGACACTCAAGCTGGGCTCCTCAGCTTAAGAAGATTGTGCTTTACGCTCATTGCGATTGGTACCAGCATCGGGTTCAGGGCCCTTACCTGAAGCATATACGAGCATTATCGAAGACAAGACCAAAACTGATCATAGAGTTCCTAAGAATTTCCTTTGATAGGAAATCGAGATGGGGGAACGCAAGGTCTTATCTGACTTCGTTCACCAAAACTGGGGACATAAATGGGAGAAAGAGTTATCAGAAACACGGTCCCTGATTGACTCGGCAAGTCACTGCTTTCTTCACATGCATTTGATACAAATCTTATTTTAACTGAGTGTGTGTTAGACCCAGCGATGGTCACATGGGAGCCTAATGAAACCTCAAGGTAATTGAACAGTCTTAATGCGCCAAGCGGCCAAACCATCGCTGCAGGTATGGCTTCCTACATATATTCTTAAACTCTGTACCAGGAAACCAGCAAAAGTTTCCAATAGGGTTACGGTGCTTGCGAAAGATTGTGATATCGACTACGCATCCGGCCAATTGGGCGGTTGACTAGGCAAAATAGCTATCTTCTGCGCCTGCGCTTGTCTACACGCGTCGTTTTTTGCTACTTGAGGAGAGCACTGTAGTACAAGTACAGTTGAGTTTGCCAGAGAGCCAGTCTTGCCCCCTGGATCGGGGTTGGGTGTTATTCCTGTAGGATAACTACATCATATGATCAATCAAGTTTTATCTGTATACTGTTTACAATACCAGCGTGACTTGAGCCACTGAGCTCAGGCAGATTGGGGGTGGTGCCACACCCCAAGAGCTCGTGAACCAAACTTTAAATAGAGTAGGCTTCTAACCTAACGTCATGCAGCAAACGTTGTAGTAATATGAAGACTGGCTGTGGCGCCGACCCCAAGGCATTTGATTATGAGTCGGATTGAAGGACGATTTGACGCTCGTGCCATCAGATTCCGTCACCTTCAACGATGTGCTGCAGTACTTGTGAAGGTCATCTCTGAAGTTTCAAGTTGCCAATCGCTACATGTATCATAGTTGTTGATCAACACACGAATGTACTTTCCTCATCACAGCAAAAGAATAGTCACAAATAAGTCATCAGTCGGATAAGTCGAAGAGCTTCATTGACATTGATCCCTGGAATATGTTTGCATCTTGGCTATGTATAGATAAGGTTTCGGAGGGCAAGCAAAAGGTGAGTAGCCGCTTCAGATCTCTAGATTCATCTTGGAAGGGCACTTCTGGCTCTAGATACAATGCTTTTTTGCTGATTGTCTGCCTTTCGAAAATTATTAAAAGACTCTTCCGCAGAACTGCGGCAATCTTTCGTGAGCACCTATTTTCAAGGCTTTCTAAACAGTAAACCGGTCATAATGTCATATTAATACCTTGATTATCAATTCATTCGAGTCGATCGAGAATTGCAGAGATTGATAAGAAGGGGTTTTTCTAGCGAATTACCCAAAGGTGGAAGTTGAGACCACTGCTGATTCAAGTATTGTATCGAGACATAATAGGCCAAAGGCCATGCGCATATCCTGTCAGGAGATGCCTAAGGCCTCGACTAAGGTGCCTGGTCGTAACTCCGGCACGCTGAATGGGTTCTCAAATCAATAATTGGCTGTTAGTCCTTGATTGAATATCTTGTTTGTATGTCCTTGCACCAACCGTATGAACAACTACCCGCAAGCAAGGTCAGATATCGCAGTGAAGTGGCGAACCGAAATTCAGAACCGGCGATAGCCATGATTGGGTACCTCAACCGATCTTGAAAGGCGATGAGTTGAGTTGACTTTGAGCTTGGACTCCAGCAAGTATCATTGAGACAGGCCGCGCCATTCCAGGATACGTATGACCACATAAAATGAAGAGGCAGCCGCCAAAAACCTTAGCAAGTCTACCACGAACGTCTGATGATCGAACAGATGGGTCGAGCCAGGCCCTGGAAGGAACAATGCATGCTGTGAATAATCTTATGGGCTGCAGCAATATGCGGACCGGTCCAGGCCGGATTGCGGCTCATGAGAGCAAGGCAGTGCCCGATGCCAAGCTGAGGCCATGTGTAGTTTGAGAAGACGAAAGTGACGACGGTCGGATAATAGAGTGTAACTACGGATAGCAAGAAAAAGCTTAAGGGATCCTGATCCAAATTACAGACTCTCTCTGGTCCAATGAAGTGGTTTCGTATTATTGACAATCCATCCATTCATCACATCTCTCCGCTGGTGATGAGTCCCCGACGTAACCGCACTTTGAAGCAATAGCTGAGCCACACATGGCGAAACACAAGCGGCCGCCATGACCGCCGGCGCGTCATGTCCGCTTTAACCACACAGCTCCAGCCACATCAGCCCTATCGCGACGAACGCGGTATCCGCGTGCCATGCCGGGTGTGCTTAATTAAGTGGTCTTAAATGTGGCCAAATGGGGGGGGGCTTGGCTACCTAGTAATCCACCGGGAGTAAGCCGGTAAAGAGAACAACGAAATTTTAAAAGCCATGCAGAGAGCGCCATAATGACGTCGAAATGCTGCGAACGCACACGCGCAACGAATGGAAAACAGCGGGACAGAGGAGCCAATGGACAAGGGCAAAGGATAGAGGCGTAAAACGCAATGCAACGGCGGCGTAGACCGCAGGGCGGACGTTCTTACAAGGCGGTAGAGTCCAGACAAGGACAGGCAGGACCGGAGCCTGGTGGACAGGTTCTTCATCGAATAATCAGGTGGCCCCGGAGGTGACTCAGCGCGTAAGCCAGGGATCCAGGGATCCAGTCCGTCCGCTGCGTCCGCTCCCGGCGGGTTTTTCTGCTCTCTCTCCCTCTATCTTGATGTGCTCGGGACCTTCGAAGGCGCTGCTGTTCCTGCCCCTTGTGTTATTAGCTGATGATGGGCTGGCTGCTAGTCCCAGCGCTGGAGCTCCCGTCCTTTTTTAGTGGTCTGGTGATTGTTGGACCCAGTCGGAATCATCGGACATACCTCCGTCCATCCCGAGCAGCGGCACGAGAGATTAGAAAGCAATCCGGTTTGCGGCTTTGTCAGATCTTTCTCGTTCTTTGACTGGGTGTGGTTTGCCATCTTGGTCACAGATGATTGATCGATCCCAAACAAGTGAGTAAAGAAAATTAGAGTACTGTGTATAAAGGACTTTGGCTCGCCCATCACCTATTCCCCTTGGCCTCTTCATCATTTCTTGAGTGTACACTGTGATACCCAGCTTGTTTGTTTTCTTACCTCTCTCGACTCTCCTTCTCCCGTTGGCTTTCTTACCTCTCACCCACGGATATAACACAACCCCCTTAATCTCTTACACTCGCACGTCATCTATCATTCCACCGGCAATTATGTCAGCAGCGGCAGCGATTGCGCAACCGCCATCGGCGCCAACAATACCTCACGTCGGTGATACGAGCCCCCGTCCCAGTGAGACCTCAGATGACGTCTCAACATTGAAGCCCGCCGCTCAGGCATCGTGGAAAAAGAAGCATGGTCTGCATCTCGGCCGCAGCCACAGCAACAACAGCGCAAAACATGAGATTAATCGCACAGCATCGCCCAAGCGCTCCAAGACGTTCTGGAAGTCGTTCAAGTACCTCCTTGACTTGACGCCGAAACAAGTCGACGATTTTATGGCGTCCTACGTCATTTATAGCCTCGACTGGGCAGATGAAGAGCAAATGATCAAGACGCTCGGCCCAGATTACAATGCTAAAGTTGGCGACTGCTTGCAGGCTTACTACGGAGTCTTGAATCACCTCTGCGCGCTGGGCGATGTGGAGAAGATGTACATCCCACCTTTGATGGACAAGAAGGCGTCCGTTCTCGACAACCAGATGTTGTACGAGGAGTCCATCGCCCGTGACATTGGTCTGAAGCCCGGAGACAAGGTTCTAGATCTCGGATGCGGTCGCGGAAGAGTCGCGGCCCACATGGCGGCCGTAACCGGTGCCGTGGTAACCGGTCTCAACATCGACCCGAACCAGGTCGCCCAGGCCAGGGAATTCACCGCGCAGATGGGCTTGCAAAACAGCTTCACAATCCAAGACATGAACGAGCTGCCGCTACCGTTCGAGGATAACTCCTTCGACGCATTCTACCAGATCCAGGCACTCAGCCTGTGCAAAGACCTCCCGAAACTATTCAGCGAGCTGCGCCGCATCCTCAAGCCTGGTGCCAAGATTTCGTTGCTGGATTGGGTTAGCCTGCCGGCATACGATGCGACGAACCCGGAGCATGCGGAGCTGATGCGGCGGACAAAGCCGCTGATCGGAGCTGTGGGGACCCCGACGCCCGAAACTTTCGAAAAAGCCTTGACAGACGCCGGGCTCTCCATTCTGAGGTCCGACAACGCGAGCATAGATGAATTGCAGGCGCCGCTTATCGACAAGGCTGATGTCTACTTCCGCAGTCTGCGGCAGGTCATTCTTGGGCTGGTCAAGGTTCACCTGCTGCCGCCCCACTTCAAGACGCTGATCAATCGGCTTTGTCTGGATGGGCAGGCCTTTGTTAAGATGGACACCATGCGGCTGGTGACGACGAGTTATAGAATCATTGCGCAGAAGCAGTAATTGCCTTTCCGCGGTGTTTAGGGAATCTGGATATATGTCCAAAGGCATGGCGGTACATTGCATAGGTTTCACAACTGTACATAATATAAACGAGTGACTGGCTTGACTAGCAATGACCTCCACAAAAAAGCGCCATATATATCCAGTCTTTGAGCGTCCACCAAGATGTCCCACTTGCAAGCTCGTGACATCTACGATGTGATGGATTCAAGATCAAGCTCTTTTGGAGCCGGTGAACAAAAATTCTCACACCTCTGTCAGGAAGTAGAGCCATCCCAAGCCCGGTGATCTCAGGCTTATGCCCATCAGATAGCTTCCAGTCGTATTAATGTAAGCCATCAGCTTTAAGCCGTCAACTATCACCCGGGACAAGTATTTCTGTCATGCCCGAACCCAAGGTGTTTGATGCTGGTACTGACGAGATGAGTGTATTTCTCGTCATCTGTCCCCGGCATGTTGAAGCAACCCTAGGCCATCATATTCGATAGGATTATGATACAAATTCTCGCCCCAGATATGGTTGTTATTGCGAATGACCTTTTGACTCTTATGCATCACACTTTCGTTGGAAAGAGTGATGTTCGCGGTAGCAAGACGGCGCCAGGTTGCCTAACGTTGGAGGTTAGCCAAGTTCTCCCAGCAAGAGTAGGGAACCGAGCTTTATTTACCGAGTACACAACAACATGGGCTTCGGACGTTGAGGCTCTTTTATCACGCTGTACATGGGTTTCAAATTCGAAAAAGCGGTCTTTCTTAATCCTTCAACACTCAGAACTTGGACCAACTCCCCACGCAAGGTTTATTAAGGCTCCGGACTTAGAGCGAGGTCTATCATGAAGAGATCGCTCGTGGTATGGATTGCCACCAATATGAGGGTAAGTTGTTGACTTATCCTGTAGCGAGATCATAATTTGAACTATGAACTTGGTCAAACCACTCAAATGAATCGCCAAAGTCCTCGCCGTCGGCTTTCCTGGCTTCTCGGTAAGCAATGTGAGGCATCAACACCTTTCGGCAGTCGCTCAGTCAGCTTCGAACGTTTTTGCAGGACGGTAGAAACCAGTGGAGATAAGGTCGAAACCACCGAGGGTAGTAACCTAGTTGCCAGACGACAGAAGGTTGCTTCGGTATACTCAGCAGACGCTTGCACCCATTTATCAACTCTGCTAACCTCTTCACCCATAAGAACTCTAGCAGATGAACGAAGTATGATACGTGCAATGACTTCTTGTGTCATTTTGTGTCACTCTGTTATTCTAGATATCCTTCAAGGGCAGGGAAGAAGTTGATGCTGAGTCACATCGCAATGATCGGTCAGTAGCTTATCTAGACTTAGAGTACATTCTTCAGACAGATGCCCAGTGACTGTTGCTGCAACACAGATTAGGCTCCTTTAGCTCAATACGTGATCCAACGGTGAAGAGTAACTGCCCAATACCTTGGTTAAGTATTTTGTCACGGCATTCGTCAATAGGATCTCCCATTTTGTTACAGCTATCATTGCAAGAGTCTATAGTTCAAAGTCAACACCAGAGCAGCCGGATGAATATTTGACATTTGTTGTGTGAGTCAGCCAAAGGGATAGAAGTCACACGCATGACTCCTGGCCTGGTTGGTCAATACTTCCAGTAACACAATTTCCCAAGAACTGAAGCCAGTCGGAGTCAATCCTGACCCCCGTGACCCCAAGGATGGAAGTGTTTGACCACTTGTAGATGTCTACTTAGGTAGATACCACTGAACTCGTAGCTACCGGGTTCAACTCAATGAACGACTCATAAAGACTCAGCGTACATCGGAAAGTCTCGACTGAGCACAAAAGTTATTATACACGCACAGCCTGGAGTCCGGCACTATTATGTCAGGTTGCCCTCTATTTAGTTAATCATGATGTAAGTGTAGCAGACTCCCCTTGGGTACAGCCCGGAAACCCAGGTGTGAGGCAAGCCGGCGCCGTGCTAAGTACGTCTACATCTCGTCTCTTTCATGAGCCAACCTGGTAGTGGATCTCGATGGTTTCATTTCATCAGTATGCGGTAGATCGCAAGCGTACTTTGAGGGTTTCCTCTGCAACTGTCGCTTGAAAGTCCAATTTCCGCAGCCCCATCTATGGAAGAACACATCAATCATTAGTACACGAAAAATGTTCCAGTCAGGTGGTACGTTATCGACTCGCTTTGCCGGTCGAGAAGGCTTAGTGTTGCCACGCGGAGAAAAGGCCGGGTATTTCAGCGTACGGCGGTGACGCGACGGGCTCCTGCCGGTACCCGGGACGAAGACGGTCGCTTAGAATACAACTGACCATCCATCTTAGATCAGAATTATTGAATAGTTCCTGCGGTGCCTGATTTAGGATACACAGATGCGACAGTATGCTTTTGCGGTCGCCTAAGAATACTCGCCTCCCAGCCAGAGATAGGCGAAGCAGAGGATGGGACTTTTCCGACTCGTCGCCTCCAGAACGACGAATATCACGACATGAGACCAACGTGGGATCATGGGAAATGGTTGCCTGATATCACGATGACCATGCTGCTTTGGCATATCTACAACACTGCCATCTCGTTCTCGCAATACAGCCTGTCGTGTCTTAAGTATCGGTGGTGGCTTCGGAGGTAGTAATTGTACGCTGTATGACGATTCCGTTGGAAAACTGGTTTTGCACGCCTCTTGTAACATTTGGTGTAGGCCATATCGTCTCAGTCGAGGGGTCTTCCCGCATGATTGCCTTGAGCTCCACTTGATCCCATAGGAAGGTGAGCGGGAACTTTAAATCCCATTACTTACCTGAGGGACCCGGGAAGGAACCTTGGATCTGGAACGATGACTGTGCATTTATCCAGTCGGGCTCCACGCATGAGTTCAATGATGTGACGGCCCGGCTCGAGAATCCCAAGCGGCCATCTGTTCCAGATCTGGCTTTGCTGGGGTGATCTTCGCACGTATGTAGGCTCCCGCATTTTGGATGGCAGATAGTATCATGCCGTAACTCATGGTGTGGCTGTGTGTTGGCTGTCCTAGTTGAGGTCAGCTGAATACTGGAAATTGCATGTTTGCCTCCACATCGCTTCAATATCATAAATGTCCATCTCATTAGAGTCGATTGTGCGATTTCGAGTCTGACCAAGAGATGAGATGTTTTGGGCTATAGACGAGAGCCGTGTTTGCGGTTACACTATAACGGCACGGAATGAGAGGCAGACATTCCTATTGGATTCTCTTTCGAAGGTCACACAAACTTTCAAGAGGCAGAAGATGGTATCGCGATTGGAGTAGTTCATTTTCGCCACCTCGAGGAACTTCGTTATCATGTCCAGCGTTTTGGTAGTCACACATATCATCAGCTACGATAATTCCCGAACGCACGATGATTGACGACGGTTGAAAACGTTGAAGCATCGCCCAGGGCTTCGAGAGACGAGTGGAAATAAAAGGGGCATTAGCAAGACCAATTTTCTCACGATCTCCATCCTTCTGCCTCTCAGCCACGAAGATTCATCACATCCGCCAGATCATCATTCTCAAGGCCTTTTTCATCCTCGGCATTACGATTTTCATTACGCCCTTTCCCTGTCTCCTTCCACGATGCTGACCATCGTGAGCCTCCTCTGGGCGTTCGCCACTGTGTTCGGCATCGCCCTAGCATCCCCAACGAACGTTGTCGAGGTCGATCTCCCCAAGACCGCAAAGCCCGCGGCTCCGATCAAGACCTACACCTTCACACAAGAGGACATCGATGCTTATGTCGAAAAGAACGGTGGAGCCGGTATGTTGGGAATGAACGAACTTACGCTCTCAGACTTGAATGACCCTCCCGTCTACAACATCACCTGCCCTGACAAATGGCAAGTCTACTATTATAATTGGTGGCCGTAAGATATCCTGTCTTCTTCTCACAGTGCTGAATGAGCATGCTAAAGCAAACATGCCGTAGTTTACTCAACAAGATGTGTGGCACAATTGACAACATGGGAGGGGGTTGGGCAGACGGGCCATGGACTGGTGTCTTTGGTGGTAACCAGGGGAGAATAGACAGAGCTAGAAAAGTCACCTTCGATTGGGTAGACACGGGTGGAAATTGTGAAGGAAGCTGCGTGCAAGTCTTTAGCATTTTGCGCAACGCGGGTCCGTGTAAGTGAATTCGGCCCCATCAGCTTACTTCAGGTCTTACTACAGCTCCAGGTCGTCACCTAGATGAGCTACATTTCTGACGGTGACTCGATAGGCCGCGGCGAGGAGTTCTGGATGAAGGAAAAGATCAGCATGAACTACCAAGGCTGCGGAATAGCAAAGTTCACGTATCTGTACCAAGAACAACCGGTGCTGGAGCACGGAAGAGGAGAATGCTGGAATGCCAAAGACGAACGGCCGACATACCTACCCACGAACGCAATTGTCAAAGATTTCTGCGACAACACCATCGCGACGATCAGAGGGAAGGGGGCCGCTCAGTTCGTCAAGGACGTGTATGAGCTTGGAAAAGACGGACACTACTTCACGAGTTACAACCGCCAGGTTGACGATCCTAGGAACAGGACCAGGCTGTACGATGTCGGCATGATTCACTTCTGGATCAAGCCGAAGAATGATACCATTGCTTGTCCTGTGGGCAAAACCGTCCAGTCGATCGTGGAGGACGAGACGAGCGGACTCACCCCGCAGCTCTGCCAGCAGCGCATCTTGGCTATCCAGAATATGAACTGTGAGTACACTGTGCGCGCGATAGCGAAGACTACACATTGGCTGATACTGTGATCCATCATAGGCGGAGCTCCTCTGGGTAAGAGCGAGGGAGGACGATTGTGGGCAGACTGTTTCGAATGGGGAATCGAACCATCTGGTTACAATGGGATAGAAATCATGGGGTAAGCTGTCGAATAGTGCTGTATTCGCTTCCCTTATATGGGTCCTACACTCATTGAGAATGTGAGTCTGGCTGGGCTAGCCTTTGCGATGTTGCGAGGATGCCTCCGCAATTTCGCGGTCTTAGCCACCTCTGATTAAGTCTGCTGGCCGTATGCTACATCCTTTTTCTGAAATCGACGGAATTCAATCACCAATAAGCTCGAATTGTTCTTGTCGAGGTCACAATTGATGTTATTCGTCTGCAGTCATCCGTATTGTCGTGAGTGAAGGTCGCGCGCTCGGCCGAAAGAAGTCGCAGCATCGCAAATACGGCCAGGGAGGTCTAAGACCGACTTGGCGGTCGCACCAAAGGAGTGGAGAGGTGGGCTGGCGGGGATTTCTCCAGAAGGAATGGGCGGGCGCGGCTCACTGAAGACGTCTGATAGCCGACGTTGACCGAAAACGCCCGTATGAGGCCTATGATGAATGATGAGATGAAGCCTCAAATCAATACATGAGGTCCCACATGAGCACTCAGTGAGAGGTCAAGATGAGTTCAGTAACTATAGATGAGGTTGAGCTAGTGACAATTGACTTGAGACACGTGACGTCGTGGGATGCTATGAGTCCAGATCCGAGGCTCAACCGCGAAGAAAGAGAAAAGAAGCGCTAAAACCGAAAAGAGCAAGGTGCCCCACGTTTGGTTCCTTCCCTTCCCGAGTGACAGCACTGGCTGAACATTGAAGCAGGCACGAGCAGCGCAGTCTCTCTTTCCCGCGGATGTCGTCCTCCATTCTTCCGACCGCCCGGAAAAGAATAAAGCGGGTCTTTCTGTCCATCTCAGCCATTCAGACTGCTGGGAATGGCAGAGAATTGGAGACCAGCCACTTACGGAATCCCCAGGATGCCCCACCTGCGAAGGCGTTGGAGAGAGGACGGAAAGAACGACGGCCAGCGCCAGCCGAAAAAGAGCAGGAAAAAAAGCCTGCCTCAGTGCCTGCCACCTTCGGTCTGTACTTTGACCGTGTACCGTTCCCAGTTACCGTCCCGTCTGTCGCCGTGGTACCTTGCTCTTGCGGCATTTGACAGCCAGTAACTCTGCCTCTCTTGAATTCCACTCTTTTTTCTGAATTCTTCCACTCTCCAACTCCTCCGATCCCGAACAACATCTATTGCTCCGCGAATATCCTCACGAGGCACCCACGACCGTCACGATGCTTTCCCGAGGATCCGCCCGCACTGCGCAGGTACGTTGATTCCATGACAACTTCCAATTGAGTCCCTTTCCTGTTGTGCCACCCGCGACGTGGTTTTTTGTCTTGGTGTGTCTGTGCATCGTGATTGCAGAGGGAAGGCTGCGATGTAAGAGGGGGAGAAACAACAACAACAACATACCAAATCACGACCCAGCAGATAACGCAGACAACACGACCATAGCGATTTGGATGAAGGAATATGAAAGGAATACGCGAGAAACAGACACATTAGCAGGCACACAGTATACACGGCCACTAGCAGATGGCCACACATGCAGCCAGATATGCCACGATAACCCACGGACAAATGGCTAATAATTCTCCTCCACGCAGATTCTGCGCACCGCGCAGCCCGCGCGCGCCTACGCCACGGTCGGCTCTGACATCTTCAAGCCCACCAAGTTTGGCGGCAAGTACACGGTCACGTTGATCCCTGGTGACGGTATCGGTGCCGAGGTCGCCGAGAGCGTCAAGACCATCTTCAAGGCCGACAACGTTCCCATTGAGTGGGAGCAGGTCGAGGTTTCTGGTCTCAACACCACAACCCCCGAGAAGACCGAGGATCTCTTCCGCGAGTCCGTCGCCTCCCTCCGCCGCAACAAGCTCGGCCTCAAGGGTATCCTGCACACCCCCATTGAGCGCTCCGGCCACCAGTCTTTCAACGTCGCCATGCGCCAAGAGCTCGACATCTACGCCTCCATCTCCCTCATCAAGAACATCCCCGGCTACCAGACCCGCCACGAGGGTGTCGATCTCGCCATCATCCGTGAGAACACTGAGGGTGAGTACTCTGGCCTCGAGCACCAGTCCGTTCCCGGTGTCGTCGAGTCCCTCAAGATCATCACCCGCGCCAAGTCTGAGCGCATCGCCAAGTTCGCCTTCAACTTCGCCCTGGCCAACAACCGCAAGAAGGTCACCTGCATCCACAAGGCCAACATCATGAAGTTGGCCGACGGTCTCTTCCGCTCCACCTTCCACCGCGTCGCCAACGACTACCCCACCCTCGAGGTCAACGACATGATTGTCGACAACGCCTCCATGCAGGCTGTCAGCAAGCCACAGCAGTTCGACGTCATGGTCATGCCTAACTTGTACGGTGGCATTCTGTCCAACATTGGCGCTGCCCTCGTCGGTGGTGCTGGTATCGTTCCCGGCTGCAACATGGGCCGTGACGTTGCCGTCTTCGAGCCCGGTTGCCGTCACGTCGGTCTCGACATCAAGGGCAAGGACCAGGCTAACCCCACTGCCTTGATCCTGTCCGGTGCCATGCTTCTCCGTCACCTTGGTCTCGATGACCACGCCAACCGCATCTCCCAGGCCATCTACGGCGTCATCGCCGAGGGGTAAGTTCTTTCGTATCTCCTGGGCGGAAATGAGGATAGCTGCTAACAACCCAACAGCCAGGTCCGCACCCGTGACATGGGCGGTGAGGCCACCACCCACCAGTTCACCAAGGCCATCCTCGACAAGATGGACACCTTGTAAATATAGCTACAAAACCATACACCACCATCCCTGTAGCTATACGATAAACCAACCACAGTGGGCGGCTTCCCACCTTCCTCAAAACGACCCCCTATTTACCTACCTTTTCCCCCCGACAATGCGATTAGACTCGAAATGAGGCGAGACTGGGACGGAGATAGATACCACCAACGCGGCTGAATTGCATAAATAAGCGGAGGAATAGATTTCTGTTTTGGACACTGGGAGGAAGGCTCGGTCTTGCTGGGAGATTGTAGTTGTACCAGTTGTACGTAGCATAGGAGTCACGCAAAGCATATGAGTTCCTTTTTCGTTGTTTGAACAATCCCTTACTGAGATCTACTTGCCCTGCGAGCTCTCTTTTATATGTTAGTCATGACACTTCCCCCGAATTCCAGATATAGTTCGTTATCCATTGATGACGAATGCTTGCGTTCCCATTCGGCGACTCGTGCCCCCTCAATTCAGTTTCGCATCGTGAGCAGGCATACACTATCACCGACGTTGCTCGGAGTATACATAGCCTTGCGCCGAACGAAACGACATAAATCGCATCAATGTCCATCGAGTTTCCTCAGCCTCGCCTCTTACGTGGGGCACATGCATACTGTAGCAGCGAATCAATAGCCCCGCTACGTGTACGTCCTCGGAGGTGCGTCTGGCTTCGGCTCGGAGGGCTGGCGGCGTGCTAACTCGGATAACATCGGCAATCCGAGATCATGCTCGGCCGCCGATGTCTCGGCCGCTTGGTGGCGGGCTGTTCGGATTTGCCGAGGTTAAGCCTTTTCGATGCGCTTTCTTCAGGCTTAGTGAACCTAAGAGTGAAGAATGTGGGGCAATTCGGGATGAGAGACAACTTGCAAGTTGCTCTGCTTTATTGGTCTTGCAAAAGTGAAGAGGTCTTCGGAAGCAATCTGGTCGGTAGAGTTGCACGTCTAGCGTCGCGAAAGTGAGAGTATCTAGCGCAAGTTTGTGGTTTGGCTTGCGTGCAATCGTCACTTCAGTTGACTTGCGGGAGACCTTAGCTGCTATCAAGAAGGTAAGGTATTGTCAAGTGAATGAGAGGCTCAACCGGAATTGCTAAAATTATGTGAGAGAAATCAATCCGGACAACAAGCCCAATGGGCGCCGGTTTTCAGCTCAAGACTCTATTCACTCGGACGTTTCCTGCTGCTCTTGTACAATCAATTTCACTGAGGTTTTTCGAAAGACACTTCCTTGCCCCTATTGGCTTGATTTGGTCTGCTACTGGCAGTATCGACACTAAGACTGAAGCAAAAGTACCGATTGTTAATACTAGCTAGATCCTGGCGTGAATTGACAAACCTCTGACTTTGAAAGATGATATGGTGATGTTGGTTTTAGCTTACGGCAGAGAAAGCGACGAACATGGCTAACCGTAGCTCTGGTTGTCACGTTTTTTTTTTTGGGGGGGGGGGGGGGGGGCAAACAGGCTTCTAGTTGTTGAAAATCTCTACACGGACGCTGGTACCGATGACTCCTTCACAGGAGCAAACTAGATCAGCTACGTAGTGTATTCATTCAGCTCTTGCGCAGCATTCTCAATAGACTACAGACACAGCCTATGTGCCTATTATCCAAAGCCTAATAAATTCCGTACGTACAACTTCCCTATTTGGTCAACGAGGACAAGATCGATAGTCTACACATCTCATGTCTAAAAACCTTAATTACGGACCCAAAAATAACAGCTCAGGTCTGACGATCAGCCGTCTTGGAAGAGACTGAAAGTTACTCATACACGACCGATCTAGTAGCCCGGCTCCTTGGGAGAACCAGATTACGCTCAGAGTGTCTCGTGTCACATCTCACCCCGGCAGGTTCAGTAATCTCTGATGACCATCTGCGGTTCTGCATCTACCCCTACGCCACCACGTCGGGGCGGAAACAGGGGGTGTGAAGTGCTAGGAGAGAGACACCCGATCTTAAGAGGAGTCGACGTTGAGACAGCATGTCATCTCTGACGAGTTGCCCCTTTTCTCGTGCGACTCTAGATTTCTCTTTGGCTTAAGAGGGTACTTCAGTACCTCTTACAACTCTAATTCAGTCTTGCACGAGTTTCTCAAAACCGACGCCATCATTGACTCAATTATATCACATACCTCTGAATTTCCTCACCCGGTAGTGAAGGATCCCCGGCAGAAATACAGTCGCCAAAGAAAAAAACAATCGCATTCGCCTCCAACCCGCCTCAGCTCTGCGCTCGAAAAACAACCCTCACTATCTCGAAGCGCCGCGTCGGCGGCATGATGTATCAGACAA